GGAGACATCAAGTACACCAAGGGCAGTCACCAGGCTGGGAGCAGGTGTTCGGGAGACACGGGAGCCCTGAGGGCCTGGTCTCCTGAGCCAGGTATGTGTGGGGGGAGGGAGAGGGTGGTGAGCATGCCCTGTGCTGCTCCTGCCCAGTGGGGCAGAGCCGGCTCTAATGAAGTGGGCTAGCCCGGGCCGCACTGATTTCACGTCTGGGTGGCCACTTCCCAGCTGGTAAATGTCACTGGAGAGCAGCGAGGCACCTGGCCTGGGCCCGGCGGCAGTGGCAGGGATGGGCAGGCTGCCGCGGGGACCGGCGATGCCCATGGAATGCTGATGCTGGGCCAGGGTCCACCTGCTGCTTCGGACACCCCCACCAGGCCCTGAGGAGGGGCTGCCCCTGCCAGCTGAAGCTGTGTCCACCCACTTGGGGCCATTGCAGCCACCAAATCCCTCTGCAGCTGCCAATCCACACCAGCCTGAGCCCCAGCACTGGAGGTTTGCCTCCCCCCCCCCAACCTGCCCCATGCCTGCTCCTTTCTTCATGGCAGGGGTGGGGTGGGGAGCAGGTGACACAGGGTGGTGGCAGGGGCAGGGCTGTCCCAAGATCTGCAAGTGGAGGCAGGGCTGTGTGAGAACACTCCTGGCCTCCATGACCCTCCCTGCCTGGAGCTGTCTCCTTTGATAATTGGTCCAGGACAAGCTAATAGTAACCAGACAGTGCTAATAAACTCTCGCTGCTCCGGGCCCTGCCTCAGAACCTGGTCTCCACCAGGACCCTGCCTCCCTGGCTGGGCAGAGGAGCTGAGGCTGGGAGGGCAAGGCCTCAGCTGTCCTCCTGGGACCCCTGCTCTGCCCCAGCACCCACCTGTCTCCCAGGGCTCCCTCCCCTTCCTCATCTTGTGGGGTCCCCAGGAAGTGGGAAGCAGGGTGTGTGGGGGGCTGCTGCTGTCCCAGCTTCACCCAGGGCTCAGGCCCCCTCTGCTCCCCCAGCCCACAGGACCTGGAGGAAGGGAGGGGGAGGGGGAGGCGCCATCCCCCTTTTCTGTTCCTTCTAGAACTCCAGGTCTGAGACCCACATCTGCCCCAGACAGCATCTCCCCCGGTACAGGTGTGCGCCCTGGGTTCCAGCTGATGCCACTCCACACTGGCATCCTGGGGCGCAGAAACTAAGTCAGGGCCCCCTGGGACACTGCTGCAAGCAGACCCTGCGGGCGGGCGGCAGCCCCCAACTTCCTCCAGAGTTCTCAGGTGGAGTTGTGTTTCTCTGAGCAGGCCAGCGCTGCGGGGTGCGGGAGCAGACCGGGGCCATGGCTGGGGGCTGCCCCAGGAGCTTTGTGGCCTCCCAGGGAGAGAGGCAACTCCCAAATCTCCCCCCGCCCAACCAACCGCCGTCCCGGGAAGGCACCAGTCCCACCTGGGAGCTGCTCCCGGCTTCCCCTGCTTGGTGTTTCCGGGGGACCTTCCCACGTGGAGTGGGGAGCCCTGGCTTCCCCAGCCGCTCTCCCCGCCTCCATGGGAAAAGAGAAGGGAGGCGAGAAAAGCCGTATTAATAAAAGAATAGGCTCCCTGGCCCAGCCCGCAGCGCGTGCTGCTCAGAATAGCAATGCGCTTTCTCAAGGCAAACAGAACTCCCCAGGTGTTAATGCAAATGCACTCGGTAGAGAAGAAAGAGGGCCGCTCCCCCTTCTCTGGTTAATATGAAGGACTTAATAGATTCAGCCTTGGGAGCCTGGAGCAAGGCTGGGGGAGGGATGCGGCCGCGGGCAAAGAAGGGAGGTCCCCTGTGGATCCCAAGGCAGAGCCACTGTCACACAGGCCAGTGCCCAGGCCGACAGGGGCTGGGTCATCTCGCTGTCCGGGCGGTGGCCCTGCCATTCCTGTTAACTTGGGGGCTGGCACCTCCAGTGCCCGCCCCAGTTTGTGCCTGAGGAGTGTGGGGCTGGGACAATGGATGGGGCAAGAGGGGCCCTAAACTGGCCCAGGCTGGCTGACCTGCACGGCACAGCACGGGGCCCCTGGGTGTGGCCCAGCTCCTGCTGTGGCTCCTGGGCCAGTCACTCCCCCTTTTGGCTTCCTGGGGGATGAAGCTGGAGCCTGGGCTGTGGAACTTGACCTCCTAACAGCCCAGAGAGCAGAAAGGACTTACTCAAGGCCATACAGCCAGAAGTGGAGAGCTGGAAGGACCCTCTCCCCGCCAGCCCGCCATGGCCAGCTAGCCCGAGGCACGGGGTGGGCACCTGTCCAGCAGGTCTGCCAGCCCAGAGCCCCTCCTTCCCCCGTGGAGCTCCTCTCTAGCCCCTCCAGCCCACTTTCCCCTAAGTATCCTCCCCTGAAAAATACACAGGACCCAAGCTTGGCCCCTGCTGGGGCTGTGGCAGGTGCATCCCCACCCCCACCCTCAGCTAAAGGGAGACCAGGCAGGCGGGCGGGTGGGAGGTCCTGCATTTCCTCTTCTCCCTCACGGCACGCGCACAGCCTTGCAGCACGTGCTGCCACCAGACACCTTGCAGCCTGCTTTGCTTTTGTTTACTGACTTAATTCCTTCAGATCAAAGGCTGCCCTCCGTCCCGAGCAGGCAGGCGCAGGCGGGGGAATTACATTATTTATATTGGAAATGGGCAAGGCTCCATGGGGACTTCTTCCTTATGCCTGATAAGAGAGAATTAGGTCACTGCCGTGCCTCCCTCTGTGTCTGTGCTGGGGTTTTCACAGCCCAGGTACCCATGGGTGCAGGGGAAGCCCGGGGCGGCCCACCCATCACCTCTCCCACCCCGAGCCTCCAGTAAATCATTACCTGAGCAGCCAGTCGGACTGTGACAAAACAAGAACATCCTTCCCAGGCAACCCCAGCCCCCGGCCATCCATCATCCGCTGGCTTTGCAGCTGGCACTGGGCAAACAGCATGGCCCAGGCCAGATGCGGGTACAATAATGCGTTGAGGGCAGGCGCAGGTGATGGGGGCCCATCTCGGGGAGCGCGTGGGTGGGCCTCGGACAACCTCGGGGTCACCTTGGCTCTCTGCTCCCCCCTCCAGAGAAAAGACCACCTGGCCCTGCGTGGTGATGTTTTGGGGGGAGGGGCCCTGTTAGCCCCCACATCATTACTCAGATGAAGGTGCAGCTCCGAGGACCAGGCAGCTGGCCTAGGGTGGCCGGCCCGCACTGGGCGAGCAGGGGCTTGGACTCAGGCTTGTCTGAGCTTTTATTTCCCAAGGCCCCAGGAACCCCGCCCTGGGCGAGGGCGTTTCCCCAGCTGACCCTGTGGCTGGTGGTAAGGATTCCATGGGCTTTGGTTGCTGTTTGTGGTGGTTGTTGTTCTAGCTGCTTCTATTACTTATAAATAATGCCAATCCCATGAAATACCCACACCTGTCTTTTCCTAGAATTGGGGTACCTTTTGCTCCCACTCTTCACGGCATGTGGGCAACATCCCTGAGGGTCCCAGAGGCAGCACTGTCAGCTGTTAGTGTGTTGGGGGGTACCTGGCCCTGGGGGAGGGGGGCGGGCAGGGAGCACAAGCCGCTCAGCGGAAGCCGAGGCCAGGTGCTCCTGGGGGCCACCGCCCGTGAGAAAGGGCATCCACTGGAAGCCAGGGGTTCCTCTCCGGGCTGTGCTGATAACGGGCCTGTCTTTTCCCTGGGGCAAGACCTGAGCTGTCTCCATGTGAGCTGTGATCTGCCCACTGGGCTGGGGCTGCGCGGGCCGCAGGATCCTGCTGCCGTAATGCAGCAAAGAAAGGCTGCCAGGGAGCCCGCACGGCCGGCCGCCGGGAGGGCTGGGAAGGGGAGGGAGGGGAGGAGGCTGCCGGGGCTCCCCGGGGCGGGAGACACTGAGCTGGGCGTCCACTTCAGGCAGGCCGGAGCTGCAGCAATCTGTCCCCTAACGCCTCCCCGCCCGAGTTTCTTTACCGATGTCACCTGTGGGTGGAGGTTTCTGGGGGAGGCTGCGCCCAGGCACTACTCACTCGGGCCAGGACCCAGGCCAGAACGGGCCTCTAGGGACCCGAGGGGCCCTGGTGCCAATACCACAGATGAGCACTGGCGCTCCAGCCAGCATGGCCACAACCAACGAAGACAGAACGAGAGCAGAGAACTCCACTGACCCCACCCGCACCACGGCACCAGGCACTCAGGCATCTCAGGGTGAGACACTTTCTGCAGAGTGTGTGTGTGTGTGTGTGTGTGAGAGAGAGAGAGAGAGAGAGAGAGAGAGAAAGAGGGGAGGGGGAGAGGTCTTTTTAAAAAGGTTAGATAAGGAACACTTATTCAATTTTATGGAATGCAGTGTTGATCCATTCTAGAATTGAAAAGAAAGCCAATTAAGATTGTTAAACTAAAATAAAAAAAAAAAGGTTAAGTAAAAATATCGACTGGACAGCTTAAAATGACCACTATTTATGAAGTGCTTTCTCTGGTTTAGACTACATAGGAAATCAACTACTTCCAATAAGAAAAAAATTTTTTTGACAGGCAGAGAGAGACAAGGGCTTTTTTTAAGTGCTCAAGCACTTGGGTCCCTGCCACAGACACAGGAGACCGGGAGTGAGCTCCCGGCTCCCAGCTCCTGGCTCCTGGCTCTGCCCTGGTCCAGTTCCGGCTGTTGCAGGCATGGAGGGAGTGAGCTGGTAGAAGAAGTGCTGTTTCAGTCTCTCAGTGAAAAGGAAAGGAAAAAATAAGACAAAAACTGAGCTGGGTCCCACCTGCCCCTCCCACAGCTCAAACACCTGTGGCTGTGCGCCCCCCACCCAGAGCCTGGAACACCCAGAGGCAGAAGCACCCAGCACCCAGTCCAGCACCCTTGTTCTCAGGTCCAGGGTCAGGGACAGAGGGGCTGCAGAGAGGAAATGGAGGCACTGGGATCCCCCCAGCCAAGCCCACTGGACCTGGGTGCTCTCAGGGGCGCCGGCACCAGCAGGGAAGCAGCCGAAGCCCCGGGCGGTCAGCGAGCCCCCGTTTTTCCACCTCATTGGCCTGAGTGCCAAGCAAACTGAAGGAGCCCAAGACAAACTTTGTACAGCTTAGAGTTTTTATTACAACAATCATTTAAATTACAACAGTCCCCCAGAATAAAAAACAGGGCTCCACGGGCGGCCTCAAGAGGAGGCGAGCTCGGGCCCCACAGGCAGGAACGCCGTCTGACATTGCTGGAAATGGCTGGGGCCGCCCTCGAAGCCCACCAGGGCCAGTGGGAGAGGCTGACTCCCGCCCGGCTGCTCTCCCCAGGGGCGGCGAGGGCCCAGGCCTGTCAGCGTCTGGACTTTGGGAAAAGAAGAGCGCGGAGGAGAGAGAGAAACCCGTCCCCAGGATGCCAACAGACACTGAGGTGTTACGCGGCCACGGGCTGCTGCCTAGCCCGGCCTGGGTGCTGCTGGGGCCTCGGTCAGACACACCAGACACACCAGGCGGCCACAGGTCAACGGCGTGGCCTTGCTGGCTGTCGCCATGGGCCGGGTCAAGGACATCCAAAGTGTTATAAGGAAATCATGATGGCCAGAGCCCTGCTCGCAATAGACCCGGGCTCCAGGCCCACAGGCAGGCGTGGGTTTCTGAAATCCCAGCTCAGCTCTCATTCTCCCCCCCCAGGGCCCCAGACTCTCGTGGGGGGAGGTGGCCGCTGGTTCTCGTGCCCAGGGAGAGCGGAAGCGCTCTGTCTGTCGCCTCTCTCCCCGTCTGCGCCTGGGGCCCAGGTGCTCCTGCCAGGGCTCAGACGCTGGCCGGCTCCCTGGTGGCCACACGGCTTGGCATTTTCCGGGCTTCCAACGCACACGCACAGCAGTTAAACAAGAAAACGAAGCCCGACAACGCTGTATAAACCTGTTATAGACCGCCACCATGCTCCTGTGCCCTGGGCCACTGTTGCAGAGTAAATCTACACGAGGGGCTGCTGACAGCAGGCAGGGGCTGCAGCCCGAGGACTCTCCCGAGCTGGGGCAGACACAGCTGGGCACCCCCGCCATGCCTAGGGGCTGGGGTGGACACAGTGCTGGCTCCCTCAGGCCAAGGCCGCCTAAGAAGGCTGCAGCCAGCCCAGGACACCAACAGCTCAGCCTGACAGTGGAAAAAGGCAGGATTTTCGTGAGCCTGAGAAAGCCAACAAAGTTTCCAAGAAGCCAAAAAAGAGTGGCCAGAGCCGGCCTCGCTGCTCTCAGGGAACCTGCAGGTCCTCGGCTGGGGCCAGCTAAGAAGCCTAAGACCCATCAGCTGTTCTGCGTGAAGGGCCCAGTGGGAGCACCTGAGGAGCTCTGGCCGGCCACGGCGGTGAGCAAGCCACCGGCTGGCTGTGGCGCCGCGGCCGTAGGCACAGAGGAGAGCCGTGTGCCAGCCCGTGCAGGCGCCGACTGGGAGTGCACAGGTGCTCAGGCTTGTGCCGGGAGGGGGCACCCAGGACCCTGTGCCTAGGGGACAAGGGCCGCAGCCAAACGAAGCGCAGGTCCGGCAGAGGCCAGCGGGGGCTTAACAGCAGGGGCCTGGAGGTGATCCGCGTCAGCAACACACTGGGGCTGTGGAGCTCGGTGCTGGGCCAGTGAGAAGTACCCGTGGGGTCCCTGCTGACCACAGGTGGGAGAGGCTGAGGCCGAAGGGGGCGACTGCTCTGTACCGCCACAGCCCTGCACGTCCCCCACCAGCCAGAGGACCCGGCTTTCCGGTGGCCCCGAGCCACGGACAGGCTCCCAGACAACGTGCAGGAGCCAAGCAGTGCTTCACTGCACCCCACGTCCACACCCTCGGAGATGGATGTCCTGGAGACTTGGGTGGGGTGGGTGGCTGGCACCAGCCTTCCGGTCTCTGAGGGACTTCTGCACGTGGCTCCCTCTGCCCCCTCCCCAGACTGGACTGTTGAGGTCAGCTCTGGGCAGTGCAGGATCCCACAGTAGGCAGACAGACAGACAGATAGACACAAACTTCTGAAAGAATGAATGCCTCTGGTCAGGAGAACCGGATCGCCCAGAGAAATCTCCACTGGCTCACAGTTCAAGGCCACTGCACAGGAAGGGGGCTGGGCTCTCCGCTGGGGAAAGTCCCGGAGCCCCCAGCCAGCAGCCCCCGTGGGAGGTTCCTGGGGTGTCCAGCCATCCCGATGGTGCCAGGAGCAGCAGAGGTGGCAGATCCTGGGGAGGGGCTGCGTCCCCTGCTAGAGCTCTTCAAAGAAGGCCACTCGGGACTTGGCGCTCTGCAAGGTGAGCTGTAAGAGAGCAGAGGAGGGGTTGAGGGGCTTGGGGTCTGCTCCTGCTCACAGGCTCCCAGCTGGCCCGTGAGTCCAGGGGCACTGTTCCAGCAAGCTGGTGGCCAACCCCGGGGATTTCCAGATTTGCCCCAGAATCCAAATCAGGAGGTGACAAACACAAGCATGCCAGGAGGGACGGCTGGCGGGCAGAAAATGCCATCGGCACCGCCTTTCCAGGGGACAGGGGTCCCTGGACATCCGAGATTTTCACAGTTCCTGACTACAGAGCTCCCGGAGCCGTGCTGCTGGGTGGGTGACGCGAGCCTGGGGAGCTCACCCTGCTGGGGCTCAGGGGAGCTGGCTCCTCCCGCCCCCGGGGCAAGGCGACGCGGTCTGGGGCTCAAGCTTGTCCCTGCTGCTCCTGTGTTGGGCTGGCTGCGGGGGGCCAGTTCAGGCAGGGAGGATGGGGGCTCACAGGCCGTCAGCAGAGGCTCTCCCAGGAAGGACACTGACTGAGAAGGCTGGGGGGTGGGGAGGAAGAACGAAAGCTCTCACTCAGTCCCTGACTCGTGGGCCACTTCCCAGCCTCACCCTAAACAGAAGCACGTGGCACGGGACCCTCGCCCTGCTTGTCTCCCGAAGCGAGACTTGGAGTGAGACTGGGGCTTCCCAGGGGCGAGCCGCCAGGGGCAGGGGGACAGGAGAGCACACTGCTCACTTCCACTCCCCTAAGCGTGCTTGTTGGTCAGCGCGCTGCAGCCCGTGGGAGCTCAGGTGCGGGCCATATCACTAAACAGAGCAATGTGGGGCAAAGGCCAGTGCTCCACCTAAGCTCATCACCCTTCATCTCTGGGGGTGAACCAGGGGGCAGGCTAGATGGTAGGACCTATTTCCTCGACTTCTGGTAGTCTCTGATTCTGCGCAGCCCTCACAAACATCCCCCGCTCTCCAAGGGGGCAGGGGAGGGCGGCTCCAAAGCCACCACTTCACCATCCAACGAGACAGCTTGAGAGGCGCCTCTGAATCCTGCCAAATCTTTTGGCCTTGAAGTTCTGGCTAACAAGCTGAATGCAGGGAGGCATCTGAGCTGTTTTCTTCGGGGGAACCAATTTCAGGAGCCCTCTCGAAGCGCAGCGCTGATGGGCTGGGGAGAGCTTTGCTTTGTTGATCGGAGCTCCCTCCAGAAGGGAGCTGTGTGCCGACGGGTTCTCTCTCAACGCAATCAGAGCGGGGCCAGGGCTTCCGTGCCCTGTGAAAATGGGAAGCAGGAGGGTCACGGGAAGAAGGAAGAGACTGGCTGCCAGAGATCTGCCGGGGCTGGATGCTCGTGGGGGTGCAGTGTGGTTTAAATCAAACAGGCGTGAAGCCCAGTGCCTCTGCTCAGGCCCCTCCCGCACTTCCAAGAAGACCCCAAGCCCACAGCCACTCCAAGTCAGACCCAGGCACCGCTGACCGGCTGATCCAAGGCCCACGTGGGTCACTCATGCCCCGGGGCCTCAGTTTCCCACCGTGAGGTGGGGGAGGTGGCAGCCCCTCCTCCCAGGGCGCCGTGCGGAGGAACTGGGACCGCGTGCGAGGCAGTTCCGTGCCTGGCGCGTGGTGAGAACTCAGCAGCTGTGATTACTAACGGCAGCCTCTCGTCTCTTCCCTCCCCCAGCTCTGCTGCTCTCCTTCCTGGGGGGCGGGGGCAGAGCAGAGCCCTCTCTGGGAGGGTGCCCAAAGGCCGGGTCACGCACAGCGCTGGTCTCCACAGCCTCCAGGCTGGGACAGGCGCTGCCCTGGGAGTCCTGGCCACTTCCCCAGGCAGGAAGCCTAGGCTGGGGGGGCCTCAGAGAGCCTCTTGCCTGTTCGTACGATGTTGGCTCCAAGAATTCCTGGATCCTTTACCCAAGCAGCGTCTGGCTGTCCCTTTGAGGTGCCAGGGGAGGGCTCTGGCTGCGCCAACAACTCCAGATTCCAGTTACTGGTGCATGCGCTTGTTAGGGTGCAAAGCTCCCTGGCGGCGGCTCAGGCTCGCCTGACGTGTAGCTCGCAGGAGCAAGAATTTGACCTCAGGGCCAAGCAAAGGCACAGAAGACCCTGACCACGCACACACAAGTAGGGAAGCGCCACAACCACACGGCCTTGGCAGCAGAGAGCCACGGTCTTCCAGAAGGCACCGAGGCTGGCAGGGGAGAAGGTGGAGCCCCTGGGTGGAGGTGGTTGAGTCCTGGCTGGGACCTGGGCTGCAAAGCGGCTGACCCCACCCCTACGTTCACCCTACAGCTCCCGGCAGTTCCAATTCCATTAGGAACCCCGAAGTCAGAGGAACTGATGGCACCGCCCACTCTCCGCTGCTGGAACCTTTTTCCACTTTCCACGTGATGGCCTCTGCCTGCTTCTACAGCAGTGGCATCCGTGGTCCCAGCCACCAAAAAGCCACCCGCAGGACAGGCATTTGACAGAGCAGTTGAGACACTGTTTCAGATACCACATACCCCATTAGGGTGCCAGGGTTCAAGTCCTGGCTCCACCCCTGAGTCCCGGTTTCCTACCAGGGAGGCTCTTTGGAGGAGGCAGTGGTGGCAGAAGCAGCTGGGTCCCTACCTCCCACTTAGGAGACCTGGACTGAGTTCCCAGCTCCTGCCTTTGGGCTGGCCTAGCCCAGCCTCTCAAATAAAAAAAAATAAAATAAAAATTGAAGGCCCCTCCTGGCAGGGGGCACAGCAAGGAGACGAGGGGCTGCTTCCTGGAGCTGCTTTCCATAGCGTGGAGCTCGGGCGGTCCAGCAGCCCACAGCACATGTGGCAGCCCAGGGGTGTCCCCAGCTGCGGGGCACTGCTGACGGCTTCTCTGCCCTTCTCCCTGCCTGGGTGCCCCTTCACCGCCCATTCTAGAAAGCTCGCTGCCACAGTTACAGGACAGCTTACAGGCGGGAGGGAGGCGTGAGGGAGACGGCGGAGGCCAGAGGCAGTGGCCCAGCCAGCCCTTCACAGAATACACCGCCTCTGTGGGTCGACTTTGGAGACACGAAAGCCAGCACACAAGCTCCCTGCTCTCCCTGCCGCCCTCTTGAACCCCCCCCGCCCCCGCCCCGCTGTCCGAGTCCAGCGAACGCTGCTCTGTCTCCCTGCTCAGCACGTGCCCTGGGTGTGTCTGCCCAGTCACCTCTGCTTGCTGGAGCCCCCTTCCCCTCCCTGTCCCACGTCATGCTGAGTCCCTCCCACCGCCGGGATTCCACGCAGAGCCGTCTGTGCCGCCTCTGGCCACCTAGGCCCAGCCCTCCCCGCACCAGCCTTGGCTGCCTGGGGAGGACGTGGGTTCTACGTGCACACTGCCGGGTGGAGCTCTAAGGCCACCTGGGAGGAGGAGGTGCCCACATTTCGGCAGGCAGTGGTCACTCTGGGAGCGGCCTCCTTTGACCCATCTTGTGGCCAAGTGGGGGGCTCTGCTGCATGTGACCGGTGACCACGTCCGCCACACATCGCATCGTCCTCCAGAACTCGCCCTCAACCAGACAGGCGCCGACCACGGGGGTCTCGGCAGCGGGGCTCAGCTTCTTGGGGAAGGCCGTAAGCCCCCAGGGCCCTGCTCGAAGTCCCCAACTCCCAGCACTCCTGCCAGTTCCCTGAAGATGACTAAAAGAACACGAAGTCTCCCTGCAAGGCACGGGGCTGACCCGCTGCTCTCTTCCAGCTGTCTCCTCACATCTGATTAGAATCAGCCGTGTGAATAATATGGGAGGAATTAAGTTCTCTCTCGCCTCAACCGGCTGTTCAAGCCTGTCACTAATCCAATTCTACTCCGAGGAGACCGACTTCCTTTTCTCTTTCTGTAGCACGTCTGTTTGTATCTCACGGGGCCCCCGAGTCCACCTGCTGGGGCCTGGCTGATCCTTCCTGCCCAGCATCAAGACTTGACCCTGGCGATCACCTTTGCCTCTACTGGCTTTCCCACCACTCTGCTAGTTGTCTGTGACAGCCACCAGGAGACGAGGCACTTGGCAGAGACAGGAACTCCTTGCATTCCCCAAACTGCGTGTGGTGTGGCAAAGACGGACATGTCCACGCCACTGAAACAAGTCTGGATTCAGAAGAAACATCTGTCTCCTTAAAAAGACAGGAGGCTGGCTCCCGTCAACCCTCGGTAAGGGCCTGGCACCCAGCTGGCTCCCACAGCTCAGGCACGCGATCTGTGGGCTCAGCTGGCGCCTGCTCACTGCCGCAAAATGGCCTCAGAACCTGCAGGCAGCAAGCCTGGGAGGCACCTGGTGGCAGTGGGCTGTGGAAGGCTTCCAGGGACAAGGGCTCCTCCCGTGTCAGTCTCGAGAGCGCCCCCTGCTGGAACACCACCAGAGGCAGGCTGCCACCGCTCCCAGCTCTCCTCTAAAAGTCCTTTTGGGGGAGGGATTGTTTCCCAAAGTGATGGGGGCGGGGTGTGTGGGGGGGAATAAGGAAATGTATTCCAGCACTGAGCCTGAAGCAGCAAGGCCGCTTGATTAAGAATGAATTACACTTTCATCAGCACAGGGAGAAAATTGATTCACAAGGCCGCATTGTGATCATCTTGTTCCTAAAGCAAAGGCGGGGGGGGGGGGGGCAGGACACAGAGCTACTTCGGCTAGCAGTGGCGAGAGAAAGGGAGCTCCGCAATTAAGCGGGGAGAGCAAAACTAATCAGAGCTCCAGGACTCCTTCAACTGGTCCCCGGGGGGCCTCGCCGCCATCCGCTCATCCCAAGGGAGGAGAGAGGAGGGTGGGAAGGGGCCGTCTAATTCCTTTTAAATGATAAGCCCCACAGTGCCGAACCCATTTTAGATACTAACCTAATAACTCCCGACGCGGAGACTCTGCTTGTCCCATAAAAATGCGGAGGAATTGCAATGCAAGCCCTGAAATCATGTTATACTTCCTCTTTCCACCACCACATACTGAAAATGAAGGAGCGGGGGAGGGCTGAGATGCAAAAGGACATGCAGATTCTCTGGCGCGTGGATGCACAGGAGACGGCGGAGTCCAGAGCAGGAAGGTGACAGCCAGCTCCTGCAGCAGCAAATTCCAGCAGAACCTCCGGGTGTGGGGGTGAGAGACAGTCCCTCTTCCCGGTGGGAGCCAAGCGGGGAGGGTGGCTGTTGTCAAGTGGCCAGACGAAGCCCTGCTGCAGCCTTGCTAGGGACAGCTTTGCACCCCGATGCCATCTGGAGCACGGGGAGCGAGCCATCCACACACTTCTCCCTAAACAGGGCTGGGATGAAGGGCCAAGTCCATCCCAGTGAACAAATCCAATTTGGGATTAGCTGCTTGATCTGCTCTGGAGAGAAATCAGCCAGGGAAACCCGGGGCAGGGGCAGGGTTGGGGGGCTTTTGTGTGCTAATGCTTTAGGGACTGAGAGCCGCGGGAAGACGCCTGGAACTGTGTCTGCCTGTCGCCAGCTGGCCCGGTGATGCTGGTGGGGGCCCTTGGCTACTCAGTGCCTCCACCCGACAGACTGACTAATGGGCCCGCTTCACCTCAGTGGGCAGGTGGGAGGCTCACTGGTATCGGCCGAGCACTCTGGGTGAGTACCTCAGGAAAAAGGTGCAGAGATCCTGCTACTGATGCTGTTTAAAAACTGCCCACATTGCAAGAGAAATCATGGCAAAGATCACGAGACACAACCTGGAGCTTCCAGAACGAGTCTGCATCCCGCTCTCCCCTCCCACCAGTGCGGCGACAGAGCAGGCGCAGGCGCAGGCGGAGCGCTGCACGGGACACCTCTCAGCGCCCAGGTGCCACACAGGGCGCCTCCCTGCCTCTAGTAAGGCCCAGCAGTGTCCTCGGGCACTTCCCAAGAGTGGGCTCCCAGGCTCAGGAACCCCCCCAGAGAGCTTGACCTGACTGAAACAGCAGCAGGGCCTGGGCGCTGGGAAAGAGGCCAGGAGGACCTTGTATAGAGAGAGCCACTGGAAACAAGGAAGAAAGCTGTAAGCCCACAACAGGAGACACCTGGAAATTCAGTGCACATGTGTGTGTGCGGGGGTGAGCCCAGGGATGAGCCCAGGGCATCACACCCAGGAGCAGCATTCCAGAGACTGGCCCGTGGCTCCCAATGCCTTCAAGAGCTTCCACAGAGCCAGGAGCCAGAAGGACTTGGGTAGCCCTGCCATTTCTTCTAGGGCTCTACGCCCACATCCGGTGCTGCCAGCGCACCCGCTCCCCACTCTTTCTTTTCTCCTTTCTGCCTCTGCTGTGTTTCAGCCACAACAACGATGACGAGAAGGTTCTAGAGCCCGGAGCCAGTGCCGCTTGCTTTTTATTTTTTTATTTATTATTTTTTTTAAAGTTTGATTTCTCTTTTGATTTTTTTTTTATTTTATTTTATTTTTATTTTTATTTGTTGACAGGCAGAGTGGACAGTGAGAGAGAGAGACAGAGAGGAAGGTCTTCCTTTTGCCGTTGGTTCACCCTCCAATGGCCGCCGCGGCTGGTGCTCTGCGGCCGGCGCATCACGGTGATCCGGAGCCAGGAGCCAGGTGCTTCTCCTGGTCTCCCATGGGGTGCAGGGCCCAAGTACTTGGGCCATCCTCCACTGCACTCCCTGGCCACAGCAGAGAGCTGGCCTGGAAGAGGGGCAACCGGGACAGAATCCGGCGCCCCAATCAGGACTAGAACCTGGTGTGCCGGCGCCGCAAGGCGGAGGATTAGCCTGTTGAGCCACGGCGCCGGCCTATTGCTTTTTATTTTTCTCTGTGTGTGTGTCAGGGCCGAAGGTACTTTAGCAGTTAATGCCCAGTCCCTGAAGCAAGCAGAGCCACTCGGCCCAGGGGGGACAGAAGGGGGCCGGGCGTGTTGACCACATATTAAACACATGGTTTAGCAGCTGGCTCCAAGACGGGCGCTGCAGACTGAGGGCCAGCAGGAAGGCTCTGCCAACAGTCGTAACCGTGGGAGACGCCTTTCACGCGTCTGCCGTCTCTCCCCGTGATGTATCCCTGCCCGGGTCTTCTTGGAGTTCTACTTCACCAGCCCTGCGGCTGCAAGGGGAGCCCGCACAAACGGAAGATGACATTGGGCTTTTACGTCTCCGAGATCCAAGAGAGGCGGCTGCAGCCTCGCAGAAATGTCAAGGCCCCTCTCCTCCCGACCCTGCCCCGGACCACGGCTGGTCTTTGACAGTTCAAACCATCGCCTAATGAAATCAGCTCTCCAAGCTCCACCAGCTCCATGATTTCTCATCATGTCAGTTTCCTTTGAAACCCTCGGCTCCCTCGGAGAGCACTGGAAGGACGGCTTGTCTGCTGGCCAGCTCAGGACTGAGATTGAAACCGGTCTCTTGAGAGGGATGAAAGCAAGACTCTGAAGTGTGCAAGCTCCAGGCCCACAGTTCCCCCTCCAAGATAAAACACGGCGAAGCCACACCTGGCCACTGCTGCTGTCATCAGTTCAGAGGCCTAGGGCAAGACGCCTGCGTCCCTCTACTGCAGCCAGACCACCAGGCTCAGATGCCAGAACTCACATAGCTCCCCGGGAGGAACTAAGCACACCCAGGTTCACCCGGGGTGCTTTTTGATCACTAGTGCCACTGACTCAGATGCAAATGTCGCACCAGTTACGCTGATCATGAATTGGGAAAAGCGGAAATGCAGGGGAGTGAGCAGGAGAAACATACGCTCTCGCAAGCCCACAACAGATATCAGGAGGAACCGGCAAGTGTGGCTTTTGAACCACATGGCCACAAACACACTGAATGAATAAGCTTCTCACCAGGGTGGGCGTAAACGTGGCCGCACAGCCCATGACACCTCCCTCCTCCCTGGCCACGGGCTGGCCAGCAGCTTGGTTTCGGCCCTCCCTAAGCAACCTGCGACCCCTATTCAGTCCTCACAACAGTCCTGGGGGCAAGGACCATTTTGCAGGTGAAGACACTGGGCCTCAGGAGAGGCTAAGAACTGTGAACTAAGTGACACAGCAGTGGTGACCTTGGCTAACCAGGCCGGACCTGCTCTCGGCATTTCAGAAGGTGGCAGTGACCTTGGTACACCCCTTGAATTAGCTTTCGTGTTATCCACTGCCCAAGTCTAGAAAATGGAACTTGCCTCAAACCTCTTGTGCAGCAAAAAACAGCCGCTATTTAATCTAGTGATGCTGAGAGAACCGCAGTCACATTAAAAGCTAAATCCATGCTTTCATTAACCCTTGATTAACCAGGGTTCTTGATTGATTGGAGCCCAGCAGCCTGCTTTGAGAACAGGTTCACATCAAGACACGAAAATGCATGAATGAGCGAATGCTCCCGTTTACGTCCTAGGAGTAGGAAAAATCTAAGTGAAAATGAAGTGTCCTGTGTCTGTAAGAGCTCAGTGAGAACCGACGGGAGAGCCAGGGCTGTGCTGTAACAGGAAGAAGAAATCGCATTCAGGTGGACAGCGGAGTCGAGGGAAGGGCTGAAACAAAGTGCAGCTTTCTGCCTGGCCCTGCGTTAGCCAAGTGTTCAGCGCTCCAAGGCGGATCCACCCTGGGGTGTTCTGGGTGTCTCAGGGCTACTGCAGGAGCAGATCCACCCGGCCTCCCCTTCTAAGGCCGCTCATCACGGCCCTGCTCAGAGCCGGGGAACCAACACCAAGGTGGGATTTGGAAGCTGAAGAAACGGGAGCCCACTCAACAGAACGATCACACCAGAGGCAGGGTTCACACCATGGTCCTCGGAACCACTCACAGTGTGAGCCCACCTTGTGGGACCCCACTGCTAACCTCTCTGACTGGCATAACCACCACAAATGGGATTTCTTTCACGTCGGATCTCTTCAGTAGAAAGCTTCCAATGAGCTTGTCCTACCCCCCAAAACCTGAGGTGAGTAGCCCACGTTGCTGTCCGATGGCACTGGGCTTCCTGACATGGCACTGCTGGGGATTATTAGGTGAGAAGCAGGGGGAGGAGGTCACGTTATGACCGGGCAAAAACAGTTCTCTCCACGGCCTAGGGCATGTGGGGAGAGGGAAGAGCTGCTGTGGGGAGAAAGTAGGCACCACTCAATTAACTTCCTGCACAGCCACTGCCTGCCCCTCTCCCAGTGTCTGCGACTGCACTGCTCCGGGGGAGTGCCCTGTGGCCACCTCTCGCTCCCTCCTGTGGCAGCACTGTGCATGGACAGACCCCCGTGCTCGGAAAGGCCTGTGTGCACAAACGAGCATCCATTCTGTGACCAGAGGCTGCCAGGTGTGACCACGGGGTGGCAGAGCTCATCACCACAGGAGAGGCCATGATCTTGAGTGAAAGACCCCATTCTCATGCTAGGGTTATCTGTCTAAGGAATAGGCCACCAAGACACAGGACTTTAAGACAGACCTGACTGGACAAGAAGCCATGACCTTCCCCAGCCCAACAATGTCACCAGATGGACAGGACAACCTACAGCCCCGGGACATGCTCTTCAGAACGAGGCAGCCCTCCGGGGCCCTGGACACCTGCTCTCAGACTCAAAGCATGCTGCGGCCAGTACCCAGGCACACCTGCCCTCAGGAGGGCTCGGCGTGGCCCGGGGACAAAGACAGGCAAGCTCATGCATGGGTTAGTATAACAGAGGGCAGGACCATCACCACACACAGAGTACCTGCAACAGCCTACTTTGAGGGCTCAAATGCAGATAGGTCTTCTGCCTTGGGCTTGAGGCTAAACCAGCAAAATAAAATGAAGAAAAACAAAAACACACCCTGTGATATCGACAATGCCACATTTGCAAAATGCTCAGACAGGCCTGAAATGGTGACCCGTGACTTCGCTGGTTTGCTTTTCTGGCTTGGAGAGGAGTCTCTCTGGGCTCAAGACGACACTCTTCCTGGTGTCCACATGAGCGGGGGCGAGGGGGAGCGGGCAGGGGATGGGGCCCGAGGCAGCCCCTGCCCAAGGCTGACCAGCTTCCTGGCCCACTCATTGTTTTCCCTCTTTGCTTAGTGGCTGGGCTTCCCTTTAGTTCCCCACTTGCTGTTTCGTAACTTCATTTTGGAAGGGAAACCCAGGAAATTAGAGAAGCCAGAAGACAGAGGAATGTGGCATGTGGAAATGCCTTTCCTCCTAGGTTATTCTATTAAAGGAGTTCTCTATCCAGTGCCAATTGTAACTGGAGTCAAGAGACGGAAGGCAGGGCTTCCGTTGTACCCATCTCTCAGAGTTTTTAGATACAGCTTTACCACTACAATCAGATGGAAACCGTTTTAAACATTAACAGAAAGAGTAAAAAATTAACTCTATCAATCATTATTTAAACTCAAGAAACAGCCTCATCTTAATGACACCAATTTTATAGGTGTTACTGTGATCCTGGGCTATCTGTTACCATCAGAGCACCAACTGGCAAGAGATGACTTTTCTGCTTTGCCCGAATAAACCAAGTATACTCTTGAGCTGATAATTAGCATGGAATTTAACTTCTGAGTGTCTAAGATGCCTAAAGCTCAATATACCACTGGAAAAAGATAGGAAATTGTTAGCAACGTAAATGAAGTCTCATTTTTTAAAACACTGCTTCTCCTAGACACTTCCTTTTATGTTTGAAAGAAGTTAAAAATTCAGAATTTGCTTCCTAAATCAAGAACAGAATTTTATAGCCTTTGCCACTTAAAAACACAAAAAGTCTAGCGGGGAGTCTGTTCTCAGCAGCCTCCATTTCATTTTGCTTTCTCATTAAGCAAGGAAGCTCCCTGGGCATAACTCCCTTTGGCTTAAAAGACAGAACCACTTTACTGCTAAGTGATGGATCAAAACCCGTCCTCTAACGGGCATTCATTTCATCAGAGCTTTTAACACAGGCTTCACTTCCATCAAGTCAATGGGTTCATGGTCACTGGCAGATTAAATTCCCTTTCTGGCAGGAGTCAAAAAATTTCCTTAACTAAGGACATATGAAAAATGACAACAGCCTAATGACTCGGCTACTGAGGGACCAGATGCCAACCTCACATTTCATTAATGATTGCCCTGATCAGCAGAAGCCGAGAGACTGCGGGTACCTTCTTGATGGTATTGTGCTTGCTGCTGGTGCCGCCCCGGTCAGAGTTCTCGTTGTGCAGGATGTCCAAAGCCGTCTCCCTCTCTTTGAGCTTCAGGGCCTCGATCTCGGTCTTGAGTTCATTGAGCTGCTCCTGCAGATGCTTGCTCTTTTCCAAGTATTCCACTCTGTGGCAGGAGACATTGTGTTATCATTGCTTGGGCCAACAGTGAGACGGGGCTGAGCTGCTGCTCGGGGTAGGATCCAGGGGTTCACCTCTCTACTTGGCCACTCAAGGGCTGTGGGAGCCAGGCTGGGTGCTTCACTGTGAGGAGTCTATTTCCTCATTGGTCAATTGAGATAACGGTCCTGGGGCTGTGGTCAAGACTTAGAGAATGAAAGTGCAAACCCTGAGCGCTCTACAAATACCAGCTGTCATCCATAGTTTTTAGTTCTGCACAAAAAACAACACAGGAAACACATGCTTCTTGGCACCGAAAACAATCTCCTTGTCTCGCACCAGTAATTCAAGGGACAGCCACGACCGCACCTCCAGTTTGTTCTGAGACTTCATCTCCAAAAGATGACAGAAGCTCACTTGGCCAACAAGAAAGAACAGGTGCCCACCCTCACCAGCAGGGACATGCACTAAGCAATGGCACCTTTGATGGTGCAAATCAGGACACTACTTATGAAGTAACCAACTACAAGGCCATGGTCGGCAAAACCATGTGACAGAAACATCCAGGAACATTCTACAGGGATCACCATGGCGTGTCTACAGACTTGGTCAGCATGTGTGAGGGTGATGAGTGAACGTGTGTCTTCAAAATTCCTGTGTTGAAACAGAATCATCAGTGTGGAGCTGTCGGGAGGTGATCAGGTCAAAAGGATACACACAGCCCTCGGGAATGGGATTAGTGCCCTTTACAAAAGAGGCTCCAGAGAGACCCCTGACCCCTTCCAACGTGCGAGAACACAGCAGGAAGGCACCTCGTATGAGCCAAGAAGAGGGACCTCACCAGACTCCCAGTTTGCTGGCGCCCTGATCTTGGACTTGCCCCTTCCAGAACTAAGGACTAATTTCTGTTGTTTATAAGGCACCCAGACTCTGGTATTTTGTTATAGCAGCCTGAAGGGACCAGACAGAAAATACAAACTCTACAAAAGCAGATGGCAGTACAGAATGTGGCCTCCTCACACTGATCACGCGTATCTGGACAACTGAGCAGAGACCACACAGCAGACACCACTGTGACAGGCTCTGGTCCCTTGGCTCCTGAGCTATCCCCTGGGCATGAGGGCCCACAGAGGATCCCAGCTAGGCCTGTGGTGGCCCATGCTGGACTCCAGAGACCCTTTCCTCAGGGGGTCATCCTGAGGATGCTACGTGTGCTGGAAGCACACAGGCTAGCGTCAGATGGGTGAGGTCTAAAACCCTGCTCTATCCATCAGCTGTGGGAATTTACGAAACTCTAAATCTATGCTCTCATTCATACAAAATGGGAACACTAAAACCTACCCTCGATGTCAGTTTGAAGGTTGTTAGTAGGAACTATTTTTTTTTCTTTTTCTTTTTTTTAAAGATTTATTTATTTATTTGAGAGAGAGAGAAAGAGAGGTCTTCCATCCACTGGTTCACTCCCCAAATGGCCTTAAAGGCTGGAGATGTGCTGATCCAAAGCCCTGAGCCAGGAGCTTCTTCCAGGTCTCCCACGTGGGTGCAGGGGCCCAAGCACTTGGGCCATTCTCCACTGCTTTCTCAGGCCATAGCAGAGAGCTGGATCGGAAGTGGAGCAGTCATGATTCGAACCAGCGCCCTTATCAGATGCCAACACTGCAGTTGCGGCTTTAAACGCTACACCACGGCGCCGGCCCCAGTTAGAAGGAATTAAATGCAACTGCAGCTAAATTGAGCGCAGGCACCCAATCTGTGGGAGTGACTGGGACAGCTCCCTGGCAAGCTGGGGCACAGTCAGCCAGCTCACCTCCGGCCCTGGGAATGCAGGGACCTTCACTGGGACTTGCCCTGTGGTGGGCATCCTTTCCATCTCCGAGTGGGAACGGAAGTGGAGGGCGGCTTGGCAGGAGCCGCTGCGGTCAGGGCATGCCAGGCTCTGCTCGGGCCGCTCCATACGGCACAGCTGGCCCCATCTGCCTTTTCTCAGCCCCGAGCTGGAACTGCTGCTCTCACCTTAGTTCTAGAAATGGGGACCACAGCAGATCCCAGCCACTGGTGAATACAATGAGGAGACGACAGCTGTCTGATCCTGAGACCCCCGACAACCCAGTCCCAGGCCCTAATGGGTCTGGGTCTTTTTTATCCTGGAAGACTGCATGTTCATCTGCAGTCCTTCCTTTCTGATTGGGAACTGCTCGCTCCAGTGGTGAGAACAGAGCAAACATCTGCAGGCACCAGTGACACACAGGCCGCTGGGAGACCCTGCAAGTCTCCAGGCCCAGAGCCACTTGCTGCCATTCCCGGCTGCCCTGAGCAGGGCACAGGGGCTACGTACTTCTCCTTCTCTATCTCCATGGAAAGTCGCTTCATGTCAGTATCCTTGAAGTCAAAAGACAGACTGTCGCCGATGAGGTTGAAGCTCGGTATGTCAGGAGGCAGCGGTGCTGGAATGGGGTTCATGGGCTGGTAATAAGAAATCTCAGGTTAGGAGATTTGTGTGACACAAGAACGGAGGGACACTGCTGTGTTAACAACCCACCCTCTGGCAGCCACCGAGGCAAGGGCACGGCTGAGTCCCGCCCACGGCGGCACCAAGCCCCCCACCCTTCTCCGTCCACTGACATCAACAGTCCCAAAGAACCCACGTCCAGGCAAATCCTGTTCTGCCATTCCCCTTGCTCCTTCGAATCACAAACACCAACTCCTACTTGCACTTTCACTTAGGAGGTGCCCAGGCCCTGTGCCAGACGCTAGAGATGCAGAGAACAACACAGGGACCCTGGCTTTGGGTCCTCTTCAGGAACTGGGTGTGTTCACAAATCATCACAGGTCAGAAAGTTAAACATCACAGCCACAGGGTGAGCCAGAGGCTGGGGGGTGGAGCAGGGAGCATAGAAAGGAGGTTGCTTCTACTAGAGCCAGAGAATGTGCCAGAAACAGAGGTTTGCCAATCAGAGGCAGGACAGCAGGCAGGGCCGAGTGTCCAGCAGGACACTGCTGTCTCCCCACTGCCCATGTGGGGAGGAGGGCATGAGACTGGCCCAGACCAGGGAGGTTCCACCTGCACACTGATGTAGACTGTAACTCTACCTCTCAAATTAATAAATCTTTTTAAAAAATGTATTTATTTGAAAGGCAGAAAAACAGAGACACACATACACACAGAGACAGATCTGCCATCTGCTGGTTCACTCCCCAAATGGTCACAATAGCCAGGTCTGGGCTGGGCAGAATCCAGGAGCCAGGAGCTCTATCTTGGTCTCCCACATAGGTGGCAGGGGCCCAAGCACTTGGGCTGTTCCTCTGCTGCCTTCCCAGAATGCACTAGCCAGAAGCTTTAGGTGGGAAGTAGACTAGCCAAGACTGGAATCAGCGCTCCAATATGGGATTCTGCATCACAATTTAACCCGCTGAGGCTGGCGCTGTGGCACAATGGGTTAATGCCCTGGCCTGAAGCGCCGGCATCCCATGTGGGCACTGGTTCAAGTCCCGGCTGCTCCACTTCTGATCCAGCTCTCTGGCCTGGGAAACTGTAGAAGATGGCCCATCCGCATGGGAGACCTGCACCTGCGTGGGAGACCTGAAAGAAGCTCCTGGCTTCAGATCGGCACAGCTCCAGCCATTGCAGCCAATTGGGGAGTGAACCAATGGATGGAAGTCCTCTCTCTCTCTCTCTCTCTCTGCGTAACTCTTTCAAATAAAATAATATCTTAAAAAAAAAAAAATTTAACCTGCTGTACCACAATGCCAGCCCAGGAATGTCCTGTTTTCTCATGGTGATGCTGGGTATATGGGCGTATTTTCTTTGTGAAATTCACTAAGCTGTACAGTTATAACTTGCACTTCTCTGTATGTTACATTTCATAAAAATGTCTAGAAAAGATGAGTTCAACTGCTACGCCACTGGCGAGAGCATAAACTAGTACCACGACTTTGGAGAATATAAAAATTGAAGGCCTGACCCCATGTGTCTACCAATAAATCCACCCGATGAGATTTGTGTTCAAGGATGTGCAGTACAGCTTTGCTCAAAATTGCAAAAGAGAACAGATGAGATGCTCACCCATAAGGGGCTGGTTAGATGAGTTACAACCCATCCACACAACACAATATGGGTACAAAGCTGATCTGAATGATCTCTTCTGGGATTTATCGCAAGTAGAAAGAGCAGTTAGAAATCTGCATAACATTTGCTCCAGTGTGGCTTTGTTTAAAGATTCATTTTACTTGTTTGAAAGACAAAGTCACATAGAGGGAGAGGCAGCAAGAGAGAGAGAGATCTTCTGCCTGCTGTTTCACTCCCCAAATGGTCATAATGGCCAGGGCTGGACAAGCCAAAGCCAGGAACCTAGAACTCCATCTGGGTCTCCCAAGTGGGTGCAGGGGCCCAAGAACTTGGGCCATCTTCTGCTGCTTTCCCAGGTGCATTAGCAGGGAGCTGGATTGGAAGTGGAGCAGCTGGGACTCTAACCAGGGCCCTCATGGGGTGCTGGAGCTGCAGGCAACAGCTTAATCTGCTGTGCCACAAAGCTAGCCTCGGTGTGTGTGGTAAACACATACGTACATCTCAGATGTACAGCCCAGCTGAGCCCTGCAACAATTCCATTCCTAGCTGCCACCTGCTTATGACCACCTGAGAGACCCCGAGCAAGGACATCGGCCATCAGCCCAGCCAGCCATGAGAGGCAATAACAAATGGAGCCACAGGTTGGCTTGGGGTGGTGTGTGGTACATCAACAGACAACCAGAACACATGGCAAAAGAAACCTGCCCGTGTTTCCCCCACCTCAAGCCCTGGACATCTCATGTTCTAGTGGCCTGTGTATGGACGTGCAGTGTGTGTGTGTGTGTGTGTGTGTGTGTGTACAGGTGCACATGCGCCACAAGTGTATCTGCATTCTCCCTGGAATGTCCTGTCACCTTTCCCACCTGGCTAGTTCCTGCTCCCTCCAAGAGTCAGCTGAGCTTCTTTCCTGCCCGTCACGCTGGGCTACGCCTCCTGCTCCAGGCACCGCGCATGCTGTCCGAATACACACTGCCAACTGTGTGGTAGCAGTGGGCAGGGACAGGTGTGCAAGTGCTTGCCGCACTAATGCAGAGGAGAGGACAGGAGGAAGGCTCTCATCGTGCCGTGACCCCATTTAATGGAAGTCACCACCTTGACCGAAAACGAGGTTGGCAGCTGGTCCTGCAGGGCAGTAATTCACTCTGAGTCATAGTCAGTCCTTCCCAGAACTACAGTGATGGCGCACAGCACGGCTATGGCGTGGAGATTACCTTGGGTGTCCCCCAGAGGCCCATGTGTTCAAGGCTTGTCTCCCAAGTCTTAGGTTAATAGCACTAACAGGTGGAACCTTACCTAGTTCTGGTGTTAGGGGTGGGGCCTCAGGGAAAGGACTGGATTGGATTAAGCTGTTGAAGTACAGCCCCATGATCAAATCACGGAGGCTTCCTTGGGACAGATACACACGGTCGCTCGTGCTATGAGATGCTCTGGCTACCTCGTGACTGCCAGCAAGAACACCATCCCCAGATGTGGAACCAGTGGGGCTACTCGGCCCTGGACTATGAGCCTCCAAATTCCACAAACCAGAATCCACCTCCTTCCTTCCTCAGGAGGTTGTCTACAGTGCTTCACTGTAGTAATGAAAAGCTGACTAGCACAGACATACACTGGCAGTTGGGGACTGTATTCAGTTCAGCATTAGGAGGCCAGAGAGAAAGTTCTCTTTAGGGTAACTTAGCACTACATTCTGGAGTTGGAAAACTTTCAGAACTGGAAAATGCCCTGTGGCAACTGGAGAGAGAACTGATAGTCCAAGGCCACATGGTGGACCAGGGACCTTCCAGCCAGGCCCCACTGCGGGCTGTCTGTACCCTTGCTCAGCCAGGCTTTTGCTTGAATGGTCCCCCAAAGGCACCACCAGATGAACCCAAGGTGGGACAGTGAGGTCTCCAGGTCTGAAGCAGCCAGAGGTGGGTGGCCCCCACCCAAGCTCACCGGGTACGTGGGCTTGGTGGCGATTTCCAGGAGCTTCTGCTTGGCTCTTCGCTCGGCCTCACGGGCTTCCTGCAGGTCCTGCTTCAGCTGATCTGCCTCCTTGGCCCTGCAAGGAAGGAGGAGCCGTGAGCCACACAGAGGACAGGAGCAGGGCAGTGACCCATCCCCGCCCCAAGGGGAGGGACCTGGGTTAACCCTGCGGACAGCACCTGACAGGCAAACAAGGCCGGGGGTGGGGGTGGGGGATACTTACAGGAAATCAGAACCTTCCCAAGCAAGGACAACATTCCTGGGCATTATTCATTGCAACTGGGAAGTCTGACTGACTGGGGAGAGCGCAGCAGCCAGTGGGGACAAGAGCCAAGATAAAGAACCTCCGCAGTGGAAGGGGGGAGGGGGGAGGGGAGGGGAGGGCCAGGCCTTCCCTGCTTCATCCTGGGTGGGAATGGGCTGGGTAAAGAAAGAGTGTGGGGGATCAAAGGCCTTTCGTTTCCGTTTTCATTTTTATCTGGAGAGTGATCCTATCGGCTGTTCGTTCCCCCACATGCCCACAATAGCCTGGGTTGGGCTGAAGCAGGGAACTCAATTCAGGTTTCTAATGTGGGTGGCAGGGACCCAACGACTCGAGCCATCACCACTGCCTCCCAGGGTCCACACTGGCAGGAGGCTGAGCCAGGAGCCGGAGCCAGAATTGAACCAAGGTACTCCGATGTGGGACGCAGGTATCTTAACCGGCATCTCTATCCCCAGGCTACACCTCTGCCCTGGGATCAAAGGTCTTACACTGGATCACGAGGGGCAGGAGAGGAAAGAAGGGCTTCTTTGCAGCCCCCAAGTCAAATACTGGGGGGGCAATCACCCATTTTCTCAGGCAGATCAGCCCCACCCCGGAGGGCGCTGGCACCTGGGTACAGATCCTACCCCTGCAGGACACAGGCTGGGCGTGGCATGTAAGTCCTGGCTGGCACGGGGACCTGGTCCCATATGCATCACTCACAGGGGGATGTAGCCCAGACACAGAAAAAAAGGAACTCAGGACTGGCCACAGGGAACCACGTGCCCAGAATGCCAGGCACAGAATGGTGAGGAAAATGGTAGTGACTGCACCTTGGGAGCTGAGGGCCAAATGCAAATGTTCTAAATCCACAGAGCCAGATGCTGTGGGGAATTGCGCCAGTGTGTATCTGCAGCCTGGCAGGCCCAGAACAAGCCAGGGCCTGGAACATCTCTCAGAAGAACAGACAGCAGCCCCAAAGAGGACCCTGCCAAGGAAGCCGCAGGGAAGCGGGGCCCACTGTCCCCCGGAGCCTGAGCACCGTGCCTTTCCCGAGTCCTTCCCAGAGGAAAAGGGAAAGGAACCATTTTTTCTTTCTTTTCTCTCTCTTTTTATTAATGCAAAGAGTCTCCTCATATCTCTCCAGCTAAAAGCAGCCTGTGGCATGCTCAATGGCTCGGCACACACGGCCTATCAGAGAGGCAGCAGCGTGACCAGGGAGGCCCACTGGGCAAGAGAAGTGTTTCAGTGCCCTCCAAACAGCGCCAGGCCCCACTCATCTGTCAGACACAGATGCAGCTTGGGCACAGTTGCTGGAGAGTTTGGCCTCAGCAGGGGCAGCACCTTGCTGGGCCCCAGCACCCACGACCCCTGACCCCGAGACCTCACCTCCGCTCTGACTCCTCCGCCATCTTCAGCGCCAGCACCTCGGCCTCTAGCACCTTCTGCTCCATCAGGCGCTTTTCCTCCTCTGTCCTAATGGCCGTGGCCTTGATGCGCTGCATCTCCTGCTCAGCCTCGGCGGCCTTCTGTGCCAAGAGTTTAGCCTCCTCCTCCGTGATCTGGGCCTTTTCAGCCAACAGGTCAGCTGTCTCCTCAGACCGCATCTGGTGAGAACGTGCCCCTCAGTGAGAGTGGGAGTCACTACCCGTCCTCTACCCAGACCCAGCCTCTGGCCATCGGTCAGCAAGAACCTGAAGCTGGGACTCGGGGGACCCAGCAGCCTGTGGGCAACAGATGACAGGTCATGCCCCCAACGTCTCAACCCATGGGAGCGACAACAAAGAGGGCCGTTCTACAGCCCCTACTCCAGCTGAGTCTTATGCATTATGGCAGGAAGAGTGAGAGAGGGGGAGAGAGGGAGAGAAGGAGAGAGAGGGAGAGAGGGAGAGGAGAGGGAGAAAGGGAGATGAGAGGGTTCACTCTCCAAATGCCTGGAATAGCTGGTGCTAGGCTGGGTAAAGCTGGAAACAATGCAGGTCTCCCACACTGGTGGCTGGAACCCAACTACTTGGCCCATTGCCACTGCCTCCAGGGTCTGTATGAGCAGGAAGCTGGAGCCAGAAGCCAGGGCTGGGATGTGGGCATCTTAACTGCTAGGCCAATGCCTGTCCTCCTGCAGACATTAACAAAAGAAAATTTATTTACTTATATTTTGAAAGGTAGTTACAGAGAGGGAGAGAGGGGTGTCTTCCATTTGCTGGTTCACTCCCCAAATGGCTGCAATGGCTGGGGTTGGGCCAGGCCAAAGCCAGGAGTCTGGCACTCCATCCAGGTTCCTGGAGACATTTTTGATTGTTGCAAAAGGAAGGAGAGGAGGGAGGTGTCACTGGTATCTGGCAGAGTTCAGGCCCCATGACCCAGAACGAACAGCCCCAAACAGTGGTACAGAGGCCGAGAAACCTCCCTTTAAGGACAATCTCATGCACAGCACATGAACCCAACCTAAGTCGGCTTCTGCCAACACAGGTAGAAAGGGAAGGCGTGGACTTCTTTGAAAGCTGAGAGGAGGCTCTCACTCCGGGTCTCCGTGGGCGGAGCCCCGGGAGAGCGGGAAGTCCCCTGCAGAACCTTGGAACTCACCAGGGCCTCATTGGCCATCGTTGCTTCCTCCTTCATCTGCAGCAGCCTCCTCTCCAGCTCGTCCCTTGTGCGTTCGGCCTCCTCCCTCATCTGCTTCTCCCGCGCAAGGCGCTGCCGCTCCATCTGGGGTGGGGGAACAAGAGCGGCACCGAGTGATGGGGCTCTAGGAATCCAAGAACACCCCACCTCCAGAACCTCCTCTTTGGTGATCTTTTCTTCCCTTTATTGTAAGTAGCCAGGGTCATTCCTGCTGCCCACCACCCTCTGTCTTTCTAAGCCAGCTGCGGAGTTAAGAGCGGTGCCCCATGAAAAAAATGCTAGTGAATGAATCCACAGAAAGCGCCCAAGCCCAGTTCTTACCTGGCTAGGAGGCAGCATCCTGACGTGAGGTGTACGAGATAGCTACCTTGTCCGTGTCCCTTTTTCGCTAGGAGACCTCACCCCACTCTGCCCTGTGGCTGACAGGATAAACACAGGTCCCTGCTCCCTGAGACAAAGCCCCAGAAAGAGGCAGCTGGTTCCTCTGGTCAGATGGGCCACTCACCCACTTCGAACCCACACAGACCCTTCCCGCATTTCTGGTTTCATCAACAAGAGCTCTGCTCTTGCCTGGACTCATGGAAGAGGGAAGCACTATGTGTGATGCATTCACAGGGCACACACACTGGATTTCACAGGGGGCAGCTGCAGTCCAGACTCGCTCAGCCCCATGCGGAGGCAACTCCCGAGCCAGGCGGGGAACTCAGCCCCCCTGTCCTTAAGGCACAGCACAAAGCTGCCTTCTGGATCACCGTGTTAATTGGGCCACATGCTGAGCTTAATAAGGGAACAAGCATAGGACAGCTCCGTTCTCTGTGATCCTGGGGTACTAACTGCATTCCAAGAGCAGAAGCCAGAAGTGACCACTGTGCTATTTTCTGCCTTAAATAATTAAAGCACATTTAATTACTTATTCTTGCTTCAGTCTTATCCCAAGCTCTAGTAGCATAAGATTTCTAAGACTGCCGCTTTTTCTAAATACTAAGCCAAAAGGAAAAAAAAATGCATTGGAACTTGAAAGAATAATGCAATGACAAGCAATAAAACACTGCACTGTAAGTTCTCCAATTTTCTTCTCGCAGGTCAATGAGAAGCTGGGCCAATTTGTTCTCTAAATTTCCATCATGTTACAATTTCCATAAGGCCGATTCTATCTCCCATTTTCCACCTGAAGAAAAGCCCGGGCTTTTAGCTTAGCAGTTAAGATGCCCACAGCCCACACTGGAGTGCCTGGGTTCAATTCCCCACTCCCGCTCCTGACTCCACCTTTCTGCTAATGAAGACCCTGGGAGAGCGGCTGGGCTCCTGCCACGCATGTGAGAGATCTGGATTTCATTTCAGGCTCCTGACCTAAATCAGACCACTGTGCCCATCTGGGAAGTGAACCAGCAAAGGGGAGCCTAGGAAAGCCCTTCAGTTCTCCCATACCAGTAATAAAGGACCTCCTATTTATTTGCAAACCAGTTTATCACCTCCAAAGACTCTTTGGTCCCCTACATCCTCTGATCTGAGACAAAGAAGTATTATTAGCTCCACGTGACAGGTCTAGAAGGTGGTCACACACAACATCACATACTAAGCTTCCTACTAAGTTTCCAGTTACAAGGGCAGTGTTTTTCCCACGGGCTGTGGAGCCCTGACCTGTGGTTGCCCAGATGCCAGGGAGGCTGCTCTCTGCTCTACAGGCAGTGCAGGTCGGGGGTGTTCCCCTCCCCCTCTCTGTCAGGGCAGGTGGAAGAGAACTCTGCTTGAATTTGCCACCATGACTGCACACTGGCTCAGTGGCTCTCTCTGTCCACCACTCCCCAAGCGTTCCAAGAGCACACGGGTGGCCCACTGGGGCAGAAGGCCAAGGGCTGGAAAGCTGAAAGCACTCCGGATCAGGCTGAGCTTTCCATTCTAACCCCAGGGCTGGGGGCCGGCCTCCCCAGTGCACCCAAATCACAGAGCTGAGCACCGACTAATTATCACACCTGTGAGCCTGCAAGTCCTGAGGGCAGCCGCCGGCAGCTGCCGCTACTCCATCTCGCTCGCCCCCAAACACAAATGATAATCTCAGCAGCCGGGCCCAAAGCAGCTGTGTGGATTTCAGTGCGTAGAAACCCACGATAGAGGTTGTCCAGTCTGCGGAAAGGTGCTCCCGGCACCCCCCGCGGCGGGTGATGCGCCGCCCAGGCTGACCTGCAGCCGGGAAGTGCGGCCGGAGTCTAATTAGCATTCCGGCAGCAAGCGCTGAAATGCTGCCATGCATTCTATCACCATCTAATTAGAAAAGGAGAAGGCCAGGCAGAGGAGACAGACCAGGGAGTGGAAGCAAGCGGCTGGGTGTGCAGGTGCATGCCCGCGCAGCTGCCCTTCCCAAACCTGTGTTAATCACACCTAACTTCACCTAAGTGTTGAAATGACTAGAGGAGACATGGTAAAACCTTTTTTTTTTTTTTTAAATATATTAATAGACTTTATTTCTCATTTCCCGAGCTGGTATCCCACCAGCTGGGCATCAGCCAACAAAGAACCACTAGGGATAAAATAACAGCATGTCCATGGCCAGGACACTCCTATGGGCCCACAACCACGCCTTTCCACTGGGCCAGCACTGGCCAAGCAGCAACAGCGTCAGGCAAACGAGGTCTGCTCACCTGCTTTCGAGCCTTCTCCTCCCTGGCCTGGGCCTTCATCTGCTGGACTTCCAAAGAATCGGCCTTCCGTCTTCTCATAAATAGGTCATGGTTCCCAATACAGAGCTGCAGAATCTGTGGCCACAGAAGCAGGAGAAACGTTAAGCCCACAAATCTACTTCACTGACCAGCAGCCCACCCGTGCTGTAGCATCTTAGGCTCTTGTGGGTAGCAACAAACCTGAAGAGAAAGAGTATAGGGAAATGCCAAAGCCCTGCTGATGGCCCCTCATGCTCTTGGCTGTGGAGATAAGAGGCAAAGTGAAGGTGCCCAGATGGCCAGGCGGTTAAATTCACAAGAGGGAATAAGGGCCACTTTATCAATCTTCTGAATGTACTTTGCTCTCCTATGTCAACATACAATAAAGTGGTCTGGGACAACAAGTTGTTTATGTGGGAAAAAAAAAAAAAAAACAAGTTGGACCCCTCCCTCACACCATACACAAAGTTGCTCCAGAAGGATTACAGACTTAAATGCAAAGAACAAGCCCTGGAAACTTTTAGAAAACAGAAGAATGTCTGTATAACCACAGGACAGGGGCTAACGTTGTGGCACAGTGGGTTAAGCTGCCATCTACAATGCCAGCATCCCATACGAGCATGCGTTTGAGTTCTGGCTACTCCATTTCTGATCCAGCTCCCTGCTAATTCCGGAGTGAATCAGAAGATAGAAGATCTCTCTCTCTCTCTCTCTTTTGCTCTGTAACTCTGCCTTTCAAATAATAAAATAAATAAATAGGGGCCAGCGCCGTGGCTTACTTGGCTAATCCTCTGCCTGTGGCGCCGGCATCCCATATGGGCACCGGGTTCTAGTCCCAGTTGCTCCTCTTCCAGGCCAGCTCTCTGCTGTGGCCCAGGAGTGCAGTGGAGGATGGCCCAAGTGCTTGGGCCCCTGCACCCACATGGGAGACCAGGTGAACATTGGTTCACTCCCCAGTTGGCCACAATGGCCTGAACTGCACTGATCCGAAGCTAGGAGCTTCTTCTAGGTCTCCCATGTGGGTGCAGGGACCCAAGGGCTTGTGCCATCTTCTATTGCTTTCCCAGGCCATAGCAGAGAGCTGGATCGGAAGTGGAGCAGCCAGGTCTCAAACTGGTGCCCATATGGGATGCAGGCACTGCAGGCCAGGGCGTTAACCTGCTGAGCCACAGCGCCGGCCCCTGAGATTCTATTTTATATGCGTACAGTTGGCAAAAAAAGTGGCTAACAGTACATGTGCTGAAGATAAGTGCAAATATAAAACACACGTGCAAAAGAAGGCTCACCCACCACTGATGTGTCTATAAATCAATCCCCCTACTCTGGAAAACAATGCGTCATAACCCTAAATCTGAATGCACACTAATCCCCTTACCTCTACTCCTAAGCACATATTCTAAACTCTTTAATGCCTATATGCACCAGAAGGCAGAGACAAGAATGGCTGAAGATTCATATCAACCTGCAACCACAGTACAGAAGTGGAAAGCCACTCATCATTCATTAATAAGAGAATAAAAATATATTTATAAGGGTAGTTCATGGAGGAGTGGACGTTTGGCCTAACGGTTAACATGCCAGGTAGGACATTCACATCCTATACTGGAGTGTCTGGGTTTGCCTTCTAGCTCTAGCTCCCAATTCCAGCATCTTGCTTGCTAACACAGACCCTGGAAGGCAGCAAGTAATAGCTCAAGTAGCTGGATCCCTGCCACCCATGTAGCAGACTCCTGGCTTCAGCCCCCTGTCCCTTGCAGGCATCCAGGGAAGGAACCAGCAGATGGGAGTGTGTGTGTACTCTTTCTTTCAAGTAAGTTCTTTTAAAAAAAGATTTACTTTATTTACTTATTAGAAAGGCAGAGTGACAGAGAGAAAGAAAGAGAGGTGGAGAAGGCAAGGGGGAGAGGGAGCAGAGGAGGAGCAAGGGGAGGGATGGAGGGAGGAAGAAGAGAGAGAGAGAGAGAGAGAGAGAATGAACTCTTCCAAACCCTCTGCCCAGGAGGCAATGGCGAATGCTGTGGAAGAGGCGGGCACCAGGAAGGTCTCCAAGAAAAAGAGGAAATTTCCCGCCAAGGAGGAAGGGAGCAGGGGCCCCGAGGAGGCCGCCCCCAGCAAGAGCAGTGCCAAGAAAAAAAAAAAAAAAAGCTCCATAAAGCATCCCAGGAAGACTGACTAGCACAGACATTCCCTGCACCTGCGAGGGGTGCCCTTTCCCACCCTGTGTCCTTGCCCCAATAAAAACATCACAAAATGCAAAAAAAAAAAAAAAAAAAAAAAAAAAAAAAACACACACACAGAGAGCGAGAGAACTCTTCCAAATGCCCACAACAGCTGTGGCTGGGCCAGGCCAAAGCCAGGAGTCAGGAACTCCATGTGGCTCTCCCACATGGGTGGCAGGGCCCCAGGCCACCCTTCACTTCCTTCTCAGGCATGTTAGCAGGAAGCTGGATTGAAAGCAGAGTAGCCAGGACTGGAACCGGTGCTCTGATATGGGATGCTGGTGTCATAAGCAGAAGCTTAACCTGCTGTGCCACAAGCCCAGCCCCTCAAATAAGCTGGGTTATTTTTGTTTGTTTGTTTAAAAAAAAAAAAAAGCAGCATTCAATTCCTCAGAAAAGCTAACAGTTACCAGTTAAGAAAACCAGGAACTCAACTTACCAGCTTATTAACACGGAGCTTTGAGGAGTTAAATTTAAAGACATCAATTTTCTTATCCAGTGGTTTAATAGTAAACTGTAAGGAGGAAGCAGAGAACAGTTTCAGTCTGACAGTCTGCAATGCTTTTCCCAGCTGGGAAATTCCACAAACGCAGTAGCCAGCCTGCCACGGTCTAGCACGAAGCTATGCCTTGTCCTGGCTTCCTAGTGCCTAGGCCCTACATCTCGGGAATTGGGAGCATCACAAGTACGAAATCTGGGGCTGCAGAAGTTATGGATCCTACAGGTGTACTCTCTGTACCATCTTAGGCATGGGTGCGAGGAAGAGAAGCTTGGCAGCCTGAGGTTAGAACCCCTGATGGGTCCACCCTCAAGGTTAACACTACTTGGGAGCTACCACAGTGTCTAGACTTGGGCCCTGCCTTCATCAAGCTCAAGAAATTCAGCTGGATCTACACTAACAGCAGTCACTGACTCAGAAAAATCACACAAATCTTAGGGGTTCAGAGTAGAGCCACCAGAAACAGGAGGGGACTAAAGCCAACAGAGTAGCTAAAAAATATGGTAGAGGGACATTCTACACGGGGCTAGGAACCAGGCACAAAAGGGGCAGGAACTGTGTGTGTGTTTGGTGCTATTTGCTTGTTGGTGACTAAGATGATACAAATGGCTTAGACTGGAGGGTAGCAGGGTTGGACTGGAGTGATGGTGAGGAATAAAAGACAGCAGAGTTTACATGTGAGGTGACGGGAGACAAGGAGTCACCACAGGTCTGGAACATAAGGACAATTTGATAAAAGCTGTTATGGATGCAATAAGATATGAAGAAAAGTGGACCGCAGTAGAAGAGAAAAACACAGTTCCTACAAAGTGGAGAGAATAAACAATACGAGAAGGGTAGAAGCTCAGTGGAAGCAGCTGGGGTCAGAAATACTGACAAATGACAACTGCTGCTGCTTAGCCACTCCTGAGAGCGCCAGGCAGATCCTAGATTCCAAAGATGTACTCAGAAACGTGTATCTGGAAGAGGACTTTTGGCCTAGCGGTTAGGGTGCCGGCCGCGTACACTGGAGGGCCTGACTTGGGTTATGGCTCCACTCCTGACTCCAGCTTCCTAATGCAGACCCTGGGAGGCAGAGGCAATAGCTTACATGCTCTGGTTCCTGCCACCCGTGTGGGAGATTAGATTGGGTTCTTGGATCCCAGCTTTGGCGCCTGGCCTGGCCCAGGGGTTGTTACAGGCATTGGAGAATGAACCAGCAGACAGGAGCGTTCTCGCTCTCTCTCTCTGCCTGTCAAATACATGGCTATGTGCCTATCCATTCCCAATAAAGCTTTGCTTAGCATTTAAATATGTTTGGAAAAATACAGTTTTGGGTATTTCTTTCACGTTATATTGTCCAACAAGCAGTTAGGGCTCTGAGGACAGAAAATAATCCTTTGTTTAACTTTTGGCCAAGTTAACTCACTGCTCTTAGGCGGGCTATTTGTGAATTTCATGAGCTTATTTTTGGCCTGGCTGTCAAACTGGAGCTGTCAGTGAGAAACCACAAGTAGTAGGGAAACCACAGGCGCTGCACCACGCCAGGCATACACAGAGAATCAATGGATCACTTAAAATAAACCAACATTTCTGTTTTGACAGCACGGCTGTCACGCATAACCACCGAGACCATTCCCCATTATGTTGAGTCAGCTTGGGGTCTGCTCTCCGCACAAGGTACGACGTGATGGAACACAGCAGTGCTTGCCCCTGGAGAGGGTCTGTTGGAATTTACCGAATCAGGCCCTTCTGGGGCAGACTGTAGTCCTTCAGTCTCTGAAGTACGAGTGTGCGGGAAGCCTCTGGTGCACAAACGTGTGGCTGTGCAGTAAGTGGACCGAAAGCCACCACGCCCTGGCACACCCACAGCTTTGTGCTATCACATGGAGTTTTCGATTTCAGTACAGTCCTGCATCACTCAACAAGCACGTGTGCTGAGAAATGTGCCTGCGGGCGACTTCGCTGTGTAAACATCAGTGTACTTGCGTAAACCTGGATGGTACAGCCTTACTACACACCTAGGCTGTGGGATAGAGCCCTTGTCATATACGAGGATACTCCAAAGAGTTTGTGGAAAATGAGATTAAAAGATAAATTTGGGGTGGGCCTTAGGCCTGGAGGTTAAGCCAACAGATAGGATACCCACATCCCATAAAGAGAGCCTAGGTTCAAGTTCTGGTTCTGCTCCCATTTCCAGCTTCCTACTAACGCACACCCTGGGAGGCAGCAGTTGAGAGCTCAAGTAGTTGGGTTCCTGCCAGCCACGTGGGAGACCTGGATTGCATTCCCAGCTCCTACCTTCAGCCTGGGGAGTAAACAAGCAGATGGGAGCTCGCTTGCTCGCTCTCTCAAAGAAATAAAAAATAAAAAGCCAGGGCAGGACCAGGCTGAAGCCAGGAGCCAAGAGCTTCATCTGGGACTCCCACATGGGTAGCTAGGCCTAAACACCTGGGCCATTAGCAGGGAGCTGGATTGGACGTGGAGCAGCTGGGACACAACTGGGGCCTACACGGGATGCCAGAATTGCAGGCGGCAGCTCAGCCCGCTACGCCACAATGCCGTTCCCATCCATAAACTTTTTGACAACCTTCTCATGTGCATGGATTTCAAAATAATTCATGCAGAATAAACTTATCTTTTAATTCTGTTTTCCATAAAGTTTTTGAGGTAGTCCCGTATGGGGTCTACTGCCAACTGAAACATGGGACACTGACTGCACTTTAAGAAACACCAAACTTCTCATCTCCTGGGCTAACTACTTAGAGGAACTTTAGAGTTAGGATGTTTTGAACTAGGGAGCTCAATCTGTCTCATCAAGCAAGGCTAAGCAGATTTCAACCATGTGTAGTCCTGGAAACCTGGTGTTCCTTTCCTCGAGTCCCTGTGAAGAGAAAGGAAACACGCAACTCGCTCAGGAGTGGGGCCCTGCAGGCACCATGAGCTGTCACTGTCATGCACGCCCCACTCTGTGTCCTGGCTGTGCAGACACCATGAGTCCCCCATGAGTCCCCGAGCACCGTCCATGCCTGCCTTCTCCTGCCCGGAGTTCCTGGGTTCTCAGGGTTGGCAGCTAGGCCTCTCTGAAAAGCAGAGAGCTGGCATCAGTGACCCTGGCTCCCAGCCCTGGCCACTCACTCAGTGGACAAAAGTCACTGGATCCTGTTGTAACAGAAACAATGAAAACATGGCCTCTGCCTTCCCTGTGGCCTCTGCCTTCTCAGCAGGGTTCTTAGAAGTCTTCAACCAGAGAAGTGGGTTGGAAGCGCTCCCCCATCAATCAGCTCCATCACTGGTCCCCCACTGCACTCACTCATTCTGGCAGCCGAGTCCCGGCTTGCCTTTAATTCCCTTCAGGGCTGAGACTAGAGTTTCCACATCTTGTGTTTCCCCTCCACAATCTCACGTAAAGCAGGTGCTCAATGATTCTTTTAATAAATGAATGAATGAATGAACATAGGACTATAGCACCATCCTGTACAGAAGTCCCTGAATTCTGGGTCTGGTGTTGTGGTGCACTGGGTCAAGCTGCCACTTGCAACACCAGCAATGCAGCTTGTGTATTTGAAAGGCAGACTGACAGAGGGAGAGGGAGAGGGAGAAATGCACAGAGAGATCTTGCACTTGCTGGTTAATCCACAGATGGCTATAATGCTATCTCACATCACCACGGACACCAGCATCCCACATCTGGGCACTGGTTTGAGTCCTGGCTGCTCCATTTCTGATCCAGTTTCCTGCTAATGTGCCTGCGAAGGCAGCAGAAGATAGCCCAAGTGCTTGCGCCCCGGCACCCACACGGGAGACCTGGATGGAGTTCCTGGCTCTTGGCTTCAGCCTGGTCCACACCTGGATGTTGCAGCCCTCTGGGGAGTAAACCAGCAAATAGAAGACCTCTCTCTCTGTGTCTCTCCTTCTTTCTCTGTCACTCTGCCTTTCAAATAAATAAGTAAATCTTTAAAAATAAATTACTCAATTATTCTCAAATTCTTATAACCATGTTAGCCTGATGAACTAATTTATACTGCTGCTGATACATACACACACAAAAACATATATACTTGTGTATGTGCAGATGTGTGTATTTATACATTTCCCTACCACGTTCATCAAACACTAGACACAGAGACAGGACTCAACATAAACCACACTTAAAATGCAAAGAAAATTTATCATTAGAAATAGAAAGTCAAATAATACGACAATGTTCCTTTTCTTCTTTTTTACTGTTCTCTGGGGTTTAGCCCTGACAAGTTGAGCTTGCCGATCTCTCGTTAGTCAGTAGTAGGGTTTAGTGATGCCAACGCTGTTCTGTAAATACTTTAAAAACCAACAACCCAAATCCCAAAGCCTGGGAATTAAAGGATTTTACTGATAACAAGGAGATGCCTGGCTGGCATTTCCAGGAAGAAGGAGAGGGGGGGAGGCCTTTTGTGGGGCTGCGGACTGCACCTGCAGTGGAGTCACGTCCTACCTCCTTGTCGCTGTACGAGATGTTTCGGATTTCATTCCACGGGAAGGAGATCTTGGGGGTCAGCCTGTTCTCAGGGTCATAGATGTGCAGCCCCAGAGCATCCACGCCAAGCAGCAGCTCAGTGCCCTTTTTATTCTGTAGACCCAATAAAGAACAGCCACTGTCAGCTCCAGCTGACGCTTGAGATGCGATTCAACTTTCCAAAGAACCTGGCACACACTGCTACGTATGACAAGTTTCAACAGGTCCCAGTGGAAATCACAGCCACTGGGGAAACCAGGGGGCTTTCAGCTTCCTGAACTGGGGCAGAAAGAGGCGAAACTATAACGTTCTCATGACCTGTGTGCCCCCTAGAAGACCACTGGGGGCTTCTGTCACTGGCTTGATGGCTAAAGGAGGGAAATCGAAGTGCTGTTACTAGCAGTTAAATAACGAGGTTATCACAGATGCAGCATTAAAACCCGTGGGTTCAAACATTTCTGATGTCAAAAGAAAAGGTTGTTGGACTCCTGGAAAGAAAATTGTAACCGCTGGGACTGGATAGTCTCATTTTGTGTTAAAATGTCATCAACGGGATAAAGCAAGCAGACTCAAATGTTAACCGTACAATCTAGGTAGCAGGTGTACAAGTGTATTCACTGAAAAATTCTCTCAAGTTGCCTGTATGTTTAAAGTATCTAATAATTGAATGTTGGGAAGAATACATCAAAATGAATCACACATGAATTACACCTCAGTGGAACACCATTTAGCCTAACGGCTAAGACGCTCGTATCCCACATCTAAGTTCAATTCTGGGCTCTGGCTCCTGATTCCAGCTTCCTGCCGACGGATATCCTGGGAGGCAGCAGTGATGGCTCGAGTAACTGGGATCCTTGTCACTCATGAAGGAGACCTGGACTGTGTTCCCAGCCTCTGGCTCAGGACCTGACCCAGTCCCAGTCATTGGGGGATCTTTGGGGGTGAACTGGTAGATGGGAGTCTCTCTAATAATAAAATTAAATACACACATACACACACCCCTCAGTAGAGCTGCTTACAAAATTAATTGACTGTATGTTCCAACTTTGATGGCAATCCTGGCCAGCAGGCAGGGGAACTGGGGGCAAGCGCCCTGAGGCCCCACACCACTGCCTCAGCTATGGACCTGTTGTTGCTCGCATCCTCACAGGCAGGCCTGTCCACCAGTGCAGTGGTCCTGCCCGTGTCATGCAGTGGAAGGAAACTCCCTACACAAAGGCACTACAGCTCCTGACCCCTTGCTGACAACAAGGAAATTGAAGCAAGATTCAAGGGCGGGAGAGCGGATCAGCAAACTGAGAAGGTGCTTGGCCTGTGATGAGAAGTACCAATCTAACAGCAGGCGTCAGACGGGGAAGCGAGGGCTCCAGGATGAATCTTTTTACTCTTTCCAACGCCTTGAAGTCAGGCGCTATCACCAACCCAGGAGAGACTCTTCAGCTTGTCTGCAGTGCTTTTGTAACCACTGTGTTAACAGAAGTGAGGCTTTGTACTATTAAATCTACAGGACATTTTATAAAATGAAATATTTCACTACGTTTCTGACTATTTCGATTACATTAAAAAACAGAAGGATTCTACCCTCTTATCTTTATGACCCCAACACTTCTAGAGATTAAACAGAGAAAGGTGGGAACTCCAGCAGCCACCTTTAAATTGCCTTAAGCACATATCTTCCTTGGTTAATGATAGAATTTCAAGAACTCTAACATAAAAGACACTAAAATAACCTTTAGCCTTGCCTATTTCTCAGCGTAAGAAACACACATGAAAAATAGTATATGTTAGTCTGACTGATATAGAAATAGCCCCTAAAAAGAAACTGTTTTTTGAGGATTATAAAACTAGTTTTCTAGAATCTAGCTGGAGGCAGATGGAGCAAGAAGACTTGGACTGACAGGAATGTGTTAAATTAGTCTGACTTTAAAGAAATCAAACACTTAGCCAAAACAAATGAAGGAAACTTTAGCAAATAAACTTCCGCATTACTAGAGAACGTGTTTTAGGCCCTTGTTCACTATATAAAATAGCACAACATTTCAGTGTGCCTTATCTTTTTTTCAAAGTAACCTGTCAACGTCTGTATTTGGAAAATGAATAAATCTGGTAGAAAGTTAGCCTGGAATCGTGACCATGGACTTCAACTCACCCAAACTTAATACAAAAGGTGTACTGAAAGACAAGCAAGGTGTAACTAAAACAATAAAGTGGGGCTGCTGCGGTCCACGGTTTTCCTGTCTACTCATCTGTGCTTAGGAACCTGCCAGGAAAAGTTTAGCAGACCACATGCGAGCCTTTGGAAGCAGCTGCCTGCACACTGCATCCAGCAACCAAGCACCAGGAAAGACCAAGTAAGGGCTCAGGCAGACCTGGGCCGAACACAAATGCCTCCCTTTGCAGAGGCAACTGGGCCCCCAGAGGACTGCCACAGCGGAGGACCATTAATGGTCTGAATAGAGAGCCAATTAGCCTCACAGCGAGAAGGAGAGTCCCCACCCAAACAAATCACTCATCTCTAACAGCTTTATTCTCCCTGTGCTCTGGGGAAATGCACCATTTGCAGGTGCTCTCTGGATCTCCCAGCCAGGGATAATCAAACGTTACATTCAGAGCATCCCAACAGGTTTCCGCTGACAGTCCCCCAAGGCTCAATGACACTTAATTACCTATCATCTAATTGAAGTCCAAAAATAGAGAATAGGTTCCAAGACCTCTCTCCCTTTCCTCTTTTCTTCTTTCCCACTGAACCGTGAAGCAGTCTACCACCCCGGGCTGAAGAAGTAACCCATTTTTCCAGTCTGGCCCGGATTCAGGCTCGGATTGTTAGATAGGGAAGCTGGCTTCAACGCACCCGGATTGCAAAGTAGTTCACGCCGTACATCTCCAGATCCTGAGCTATCTTCAAATATTCCATTTCGGCTTCGTCCCTGTGAGCAGAAAGGAAGACACTGTCACTGGAGCTAAGTGAGGAGGGTGGAAGGTGGGCACGAACAGCCCAAACCTGCCGTCGCCTGGAGCCGTGTCCCGGCAGACGACAGGAGCCAGAGCAGATACCAGCAAGGCTCTTCGGAACCCTGTCTATTAAACAACCAAGGTCAAGCCAACTTCCCATCCCTGAGAAAATAAGAGAGCGGATCCATTACAGCGTCTCTTGGCTTCAATTTCACGTTTATGCCCTCGGTAAGTAGTGACAGCTGTCTTAAGTAAGTCCGGAAAAGCACGCGGCATGCTATCTGCTACCCTCAAATGGGTCTCGGTGTTCAAATCTTATTTAAGTTGTTTCCTTATCTTAGTGTACTTCCTTCACCTGGAAGGTTCTGGTAATGAAACAACTCTCTCTGCAGCCGACCTGACAGCTACTTCCCTGATTTGATTTCCTTGGGTACTGCTGGAGGTGAGGGCAAGAGTTATCTGGGCTGTAAAACCCAACCAATGTTGCCTACTTGTAAGTTGTAAGTCAAATTTAAAGGAAGCTCCCGAAGCAGCTATGACTTGCAGAAAACTGCCACGATAGGTAGGGAATTGAAGTATTTTCACTTCAGCCTCCCTATGACCTTGTCCTCTTCTCTCTCCGATCATAAAATGCTCTCAAATGAATTTTAAAAATTCAACTGAGAGAATGCCAAGTGTTGGCAAGCCAGCGGAGCAACCAGAAATCACAAGCGCTGCTGCTGTCAATCGGTACAGTTCCTTTGGGAAATGGACAGTACGGTAACGCCAGAGACCAGGAGCCAGCACCGCATCCTAAACACCCATCAGTAGTAGGATGGATGTGGTATAGTAACGCACTGGAATTCTACACAGCAACGAAAGTGACAAGTTCTTGCACGTGATACTGAGTCAAGGAAGTGAGGCATAAAATCAGAAAGTGTCTGACCGCAGGTATAGAAAGTGTAAAACAGGTGACACTAATTCATGGAGTTAGAAATCAGATTGGTCACCGCTCAGGAAAAAAGAAGAGGGTTTACGGGCTTCTGATTCCCCCGGTGTTACATGGTGTTCCTGCTTTATAACAACACTCATCAGGCACAATATTTGTTTTGTTTTGTTTTAAGATTTTATTTATTTATTTGAAAGTCAGAGTTAGAGAGAGAGCTCGCTCGCACTCTTCCACCTGCTGGTTCACTCCCCAGCTGGCTGCAATGGCCAGAGCTGCGCCGATCCTAAGCCAGGGGCCAGGAGCTTCTGGATCTCCTACATGGGTGCAGGGCCCAACGACTTGAGCCATCTTCTACTGCTTTCCCAGGCCATAGCAGAGAGCAGCCGGGACTCGAACTGGCGCCCATATGGGATGCCGGCACTGCAGGCAGTGGTTTTACCCGCTATGCCACAGCACCGGCCTCAGGCAGTATATTTGTAATTTGTTGTTTTCAGTATGTATGCTACACATTTTAAGTGATGGGGGTGGGGGCAGGCATTGCAGTGCAGTGACTTAAGCCACCACTTTAGACACCTGTATCCCATATCAGAGGCCTATGTTCAATTTTTGCCTCTGCTTCCCATCCAGCTTCCTGCTAATATACTGGGAGGCGGTAGCTGATGGCCAAGCACTTAGGTTTCTGCTTCATCCTGGCCCAGCCCCAGTTGTTGAGGGCATTCTGGGAAGTGAACCAGAGGATAGAAGATTTCTCTCTCTCTTTTTCTGTGTGTGTGTGTTGTCTGCCTTTCAAATATATAAAAATGAATAAACTTTTAAAAAAAGGTTAAGTGATAGTTGATTTGAAGAAGAGAAAAAAATTTTATAGACCAATGGAAAAGTGATCAATTCCTAAATTGATCAGAGGAATGCTAAGTATAAGATACAATTTTTCATTTTTTTTTAGATTTTTTTTTTATTTATTTGAAAGAGTTACAGAGTGAGGTAGAGCCAGAGAGAGAGAGAGAGAGGTCTTCCATCGCTGATTCACTCCGCAAATGACCACGATGGCCAGAGCTGAGCTGATCCAAAGCCAGGAGCCAGGAGCTTCTTCTAGGTCTCCCATGTGGGTGCAGGGGCCCAAGCACTTGGGCCATCTTCTACTGCTACCCAGGCCATAGCAGAGAGCTGGATGAGAAGTGGAGCAGCCGGGACTCCAACCGGCGCCCATGCTGGCACTGCAGGCCATGGCTTTAACCCGTGGTGCCACAGTGCCGGCCCCAATTTTTCATCTTTAAGATCATCAAAAATATTATAGGTTGACTAAAAAAAGGTGTTGAGGTGCAGGCATTGGGTAGGTGGCACATTCACTGCTTGAAACACCTGCATCCCATATCAGAGTGGCTGGGGTCAATTCCTGGATCTGCTTCCAATTCCAGCTTCCTGCGAATGCGCACTCTGGGAGGAGCAGGTAATGGCTTAAGTACTTGAGTCCCTGCCACCCACCATGGAAGACCTGAACTGAGTTCTCAACCCCCAGACATTTGGAGAGTGACAGGAGGTCTCTCTTGTCTATCTCTCTCTGCTTCTCAAAAAAAGAAAGAGGTGAGGCTGGCGCCGCGGCTCACTAGGCTAATCCTCCGCCTTGCGGCGCCGGCACACTGGGTTCTAGTCCCAGTCGGGGCGCCGGATTCTGTCCCGGTTGCCCCTCTTCCAGGCCAGCTCTCTGCTGTGGCCAGGGAGTGCAGTGGAGGATGGCCCAGGTGCTTGGGCCCTGCACCCCATGGGAGACCAGGAAAAGCACCTGGCTCCTGCCATCGGATCAGCGCGGTGCGCCGGCCACAGTGCGCCGGCCGCAGTGGCCATTGGAGGGTGAACCAAAGGCAAAGGAAGACCTTTCTCTCTGTCTCTCTCTCTCTCTCTCACTGTCCAGTCTGCCTGTCAAAAAGAAAAAAAAAAAAAAAAGGAAGAAAGAAAGAGGTGGGGGAGGCAGTCTCGCACCACTGATGATGGGCACTGAGAAACAGGTACAACCTTTCTGGAAGGCAACTTGGTGCCACCCATCTCACATTCTTTGACCCAGTAACTCTCCTTCAAAAGACTCTTATTTCAGTTCTACTTGTGCAATCATTTAATGAGATTGTACAGAACTTTCTGTAAAAGTGAAAAACCGACAGATACTCAGCGCATCAATAGAGGGATGGATACAAAAGCAGCAGGAGGAGCTGGCTTTGTGCCACAGGAGCCCCACTGCAACGCTGGCATCCCACTGAGCATCAGCTCACGTCCTGGCCGCACTGCTTCCAGCCCACTTCCCTTGCTAATGTGCCTGGGGAGGCAGTGGAAGATAGCCCAAATACTCGGGCCCTTGTCACTCACATGGGAAACCTGGATGGAGCTTCTGGTTCCTGGCTTTAGCCAGGAGTGAACCAGTGGGTGGAAGATCTCTGTTTAACTCTCTGTCTTTCAAAAACAAACAAACAAACAAACAATATACTATTTATACAACAGAATTTGTAAAATTAAATGAAATCGCCGATGAGTGCAGGTCAGACAGTACAGCCCTCCATGTTATACCATACACATTCTAGAAGAAGGACACACAGGACCAGCGCTATGGGGTAGTGGATACAGTCACTGCCTGCAGCACAGCACTGGCATCTGATATGGGCACTGGTGCAAGTCCCTGCTGCTCCACTTCCAATCCAGCTCCCTGCTAATGTGCCTGGGAAAGCAGTAGAAGATGGCCCTGCTTGGGCCCCTGCACCCACATGGGAGACCCAGAAGAAGCTCCTGGCTCCTGGCTTTGGATCGGCCCAGCCCTGGCTGTTGCAGCCATTTGGGGAGTGAACCAGCAGATGAAGGATCTCTCTCTGTCTCTCCCTCCCTCTCCAGAACTCTGCCTTTCAAATAAATAAATAAATCTTTAGAAAAGAAAAAGGACACACAACACTGAAGTTCACCATTACTCCCAGCTCTTCCTTTTTCTTTTTATATACTTGGGACTTGGCTACTGCACTTTGTTCAACAAGAATGTCCCAGTTTTGTAGTCCTTTAAGGACTTAAAACGACCAAAAAAAAAAAAAAAAAAAAAGCCCATAAAGAAATGTAAACCAGCAGTGAAGCAGTCTCACCTGGCGCGGCCCCGGTGCTCTGCATACCAGGCAGTAATTCTCTCCTCCCACATTTCCGGAGTCATCTGATACAGATTTATTACCTACCAAAAAATAGAGCAAAATAAAAAACCCACACACAAAGGAAGTTTGGGTATTGTTTGCCATTTTTATAATTATGCATCATTTTCCCACAACAGCAAAGCTATTTTTAAGAAACCGCACACAGGGAGGCCGTGGCACGCAGAGGTGGGCGTGTGAACAAGCACCGTTCAGTTGGAGGGCGGATCAGAAAGCCGCCTGGCTGGGCGGCCCAGGTGCACCCCTGGCCTGGCAGCGGCCCCTCTTTCCCGCCTGGGCTGTTATGTACATCCCAGAGACAGCCTCTGCAGACGAGCTCGGTCAGGAGCGAGGCTCGCTGCTCCCAGCCCCTTCCAAGCACAGGGAAAGGCAGTGAAGGTGAGTAAAAGACTTTATTACCCAGTGACAGATGAGTGTAGCTATAAAATCGCAGCACCAAAAGGGAGGGAGGGCCTGCTTCCGTGACCGATGATCAAGATGAACACCGCCAAAGACTCAAAGCCACGGCGCCCACCCCTGCCTCGTTGCCTCCGTCCACCCCTCACGCTGCAAACAGCTCCATTCCCTAAACCGAACACACACTGCTCCACACGCCTCCTTTAAAGAAACGACTGCTCCAGGGGGACACGTACAGGCCGTGCCCGTCCTGGCAACCCCAAGCCAGCTCCACAAACCTGTGCTTCTTCATAGACTGCACAGCGATTCTGCGTTCTTTTCTCAGGATTTCTTACCCTTTTTGGCAGCAATTCCTCTTGAGCTAAAAATCCCCGCTTGTGAACCGAGGGGTCATAGTCACCATACTGGAGGAGGAGAAGAAAGGGAGTGGTGGTTGAGATGCAAGACAACAGCCATTTCTGAATGGGGGCGGAGAGGGGGCTCCTACTTAGTGGGTTTCCTACCAGCTCCAGGGAGCAATTCAATTCCAATGACAAGTCAAGATTTCAGCCTTGCTAGTTTGTTATCCTTCAATGAAAATACAAAGCTGATTATATCTGCAAATGGAGTTGCATAATCCCGTAAGGGATGAATGGGTGATGTGCTAATAAGGATGTGACACGTGTGTGGAAATGCGGTCATGTTTTCTAGCTCGCAGGGAAAGCAGTCACTTCCAAGACATTAGCCTTTGAATTGAAACAACAAAACACAACTGTGAAAGTTGTGATTAGCAAGGTGTGATGAGAGTCTTACCTACAGATGCTTCTAAGTGGCTGGTAATTGGAGGCAAGTGCCAGGAGGGAGCTGGGAGTAATGCAGGCAATATTTTTAATGCCTTTTGTTCAAGGTTCTGAAAAATGCTTTGGAAAAAGTCTGATGTCAACACTGTCATTTCTACCGTACAGACAAAGACACGAGTACAAAGCTGGAAAACAGGTCCCTGGAGCAGGGCAGGAAATGGGCCCTGCATTTTAATTTATTCCTCTGGGCACAATGGCTGGGACATTCCTTCTCTGATTTTTAAAAAGTTCCTTTCTTTCCTAGAAAACACTGAATCTGACCTGGAAATAATAATAATAATAATAATAAAAAGAAAGAATGTTTAAACAGGAATTAACTGTGAAACAAATAGTAGAAAATAAAATGCAAGCGTGTTTCTTATCAGCACTGGCTTTTCTTTTTACCAAAAACATCAAAGCCTGGATTTTAGTATAATTTATAAGTGTTTATCCTGTGGACCACTAATACTGAGGGGAAAAGGAAGTTCAAGCACAAGGCTGGCGGTTCTGTGTCCAGGTCAGGCCAGGATGCTGTCCAGAGAGCCTCACGGCAGACTGCAGGGTGTTCTCTGAATGAAGTCACTCACTCGCCAAATGCCAGATCTTCATCAGCCACCCCAACAGGACTGTAATGTTTGCATGCACTAATATTTCTTATGTTAATTTCATAATTATCTTGCATGTGGCAGAATTGTATTTTTTTTTTAGTGTTAAGGAGATTCCTTTGTCAAATTGAACATGTAACCCTATATGGCATTTCTTCATGTTAAAAACTGAAAGGACACGGGGCTGGCGCTGTGGCTCACTTGGTTAATCTTCTGCCTGCAGCGCTGGCATCCCATATGGGCGCCGGGTTCTAGTCCCAGTTGCTCCTCTTCCAATCCAGCTCTCTGCTGTGGCCCGGGAAGGCAGTGGAGGATGGCCCAAGTTCTTGGGCCCCTGCATCCGCATGGGAGACCAGGAGGAAGAACCTGGCTTCGGATCGGCACAGCCAAAGGAAGACCTTTCTCTCTGTCTCTGTCTCTCTCTCTCACTAACTCTACTTTTCAAATTAAAAAAACAACAACAACAACGCACACACACAACTGGTAGGACACTCCCCCCAGTCCCAATTCTCTCTACTTCTCGGAGGCCTGGAGATGCTGTAAGTCCTCCCTGTCTTGCAAGGCAGCTGTCGGGTGCAGGACGAGTCTCCAGGCTGCTTAAAGCCCCACTCCAGATCTTTCACTTAGTAACTACATGACCTTGGAAACTGTTGTGTCTCAGTTTTCTCCACTGTAAAATGGGGATAGTAACAGTACCTACTTCACAGGACTCTTATAGTGATTAAATAAAATAATACTCGCAAAGTTTTAAAAACTATCTTGACATATATATAAGCTGATGTCCGGTTTCTCCAACTGTTTTCTTGTTAAAGAGCCCATTAGGAGCAGGTGTTTGGCCTAGCAGTTAAAACACCCTCAGCACTCTTCAGAGGGCCTGGTTGTTTTTTTTTTTTTTTTAATAAATTTTTTAAAAGATTTATTTATTTGAAAGAGTTACACAGCAAGAGGAGAGGCAGAGAGAGAGAAAGAGAGAGAGAGACTGACAGAGAAAGAGAGAGAGAGGTCTTCCATCCAATGGTTCACTCCCCAATAGGCCACAATGGCCAGAGCTGTGTCAATTCGAAGCCAGGAGCTTCTTCCAGATCTCCCGTGCAGGTGCAGAGGCCCAAGGACTTGGGCCACGTTCTACTGCTTTCCCAGGCCAAAGCAGAGAGCTGGGTCAGAAGAGGAACAGCGGGGACTAGAACTGGCGTCCATATGGGATGCCGGTGCTTCAGGCCAGAGCATTAACCCACCACGCCACAGCACCGGCCCCAGGCCTGGGTTTTGATTCCAAATTCCAGCTTCCTGCCAATGCAGAAGTAGTGGTGATGGCTCAAGTAGTTGGTCTCAGCTCTCTGCTGTGGCCAGAGAAGGCAGTGGAGGATGGCCCAAGTCCTTGGGCCCTGCACCCCATGGGAGACCAGGATAAGTACCTGGCTCCTGCCATCGGATCAGAGCGGTGCACCAGCCGCAGCGCGCTGGCCGTGGAGGCCATTGGAGGGTGAACCAACGGCAAAGGAAGACCTTTCTCTCTGTCTCTCTCTCTCACTGTCCACTCTGCCTGTCAAAAAAAAAAAAAAAAAAAAAAAAAAAAGTAGTTGGTCTCCCTGTCACCCACATGGAAGACCATAGTAGAGCACTGGTTTGAGTCCTGGCTGCTCCACTTCCAATCCAGCTTCCTGCTAGTGTGCCTGTGCCTGGGAAGGCAGTGGATAATGGCCCAAGTATTTGGGCCCCTGCCAACCATGTGAGAGACCAAGTGCCTGGCTCTTGGCTTTTGCTTGACCCAGCCCTGGCTGTTGTGGGCAAGCGAGGCATAATCCCATGAATGGAAAATTGATCTCTCTCTCTCTCTCTCTCAATAAACAATAAATAAGTATTTTAGAAAGAGAGCATTAGGCGTAGAAAGTTTTAAAAGGGCGTTCTGGAGTAACCCCTCTGAGGCCCTCTCTCTATAAACCTCAGCTTCCTGATCTGCCAAGCAAGGGTCATAATGGCACCTGTGTGCCAGGAGGTGATGAGGAGGAAGGAAGACGACACAGGTCAGCCTGAGCACAATGGCTGGCCCCTGGGGAAGGTCAGGTGTCATTACTACTGTGGCTGCCGTCCTCACATTATCTGAAACAGCCATGGGCAGTGTTTGCCTCCCTGATTTCTGATTTCTGAAGGGGTAAGATGAAAAACAAAGCCCTGTTAGTTGCATTTGCAAACCCCTCAACAATGCTGATCAAACCCTAAGGCAAAAGTAAGCAGATATGCAAAGTTCAAGTTGTAAATTCCCTTCCGAAGGCCTGCAAGATTAACGAGCCCCATTATTAAATTAGACCGAGCTCCCAGCTACTCCACTGATCAAACACATTAGATCTGACTGACGCAGAGGTGGCAGGGACCCTGCAGAAAGAACTTCTCCACTGGACTAACTCCACTTACGACATTAAAGCCACCTTGATGTATGCCTCTGCTCTTAAATGGCTCTTTGAAAAACAAAGGAAGGGGAAAAAAACCCTAAGCTGTGGCAGCTGGTGAATATAAAAGAAAATCACAGCATTCCACAGCTGGGGATGACAGGTCCTCCTCCTTTCAAGCAGCAGATACGCTGGGCGACAACACAATGAAGGTGCATTTACTGCGAAGCTAAGGAAGCCCGGGCTTCGGGTCTCTGCGCCTGCCAGAGCCTCTGTGTGATTCTACATTCATAATTTCATGTCTGTGGGTCAAGGAGAACTCCCTAAATTATAGGAACCTCAGGTCCTACAAAACCTGGATCTACCCCTGATAGAAACCAACTGAATTTAAATTCAAGAAGGGAGCTCACCATCCAAAGGACTCTTAGAGTCAATTCTTAGGTTAAGTAGACTCTTTCTGGATATTAAATAACTTCCTCTGTCTCTATGTATAGAAAAATGAGATCAAATGCACTGAACAGGATTTGATAAGATATAGAGTAGGTTAATAACTATAGAGAAAATTGGTCCCTTCTACACAGAGTAACTAAATCCCAGACGGATTAAAGACTTAAACCTATACATGAAAATCTATAAAAATATCAGAACGAAACACAGAGCACGAGTATATTAATGGTTGGCAAAGTCCTTCTAAAAGTCAGTCAAAACATGAAAAGAAAAAACCTGACAAGGAAAAATAGACAAAATGTTGGTAGCCCAGATACATGGAGCTCTTACAAGTCAATCAGAAAATGATTTAAGAAGCAGTAGAAAATGGGCAAGTCACAAATAGTTGATTCAGAGAAAACAAATACAAATGGCCAATGAATCTGCGAAAAGATGCTTAGCCCCAGTGGCAATCCCAGAAGTGCAAATTTTCAAAAACCTGTTTTTTCTCCTAGATCAGCAAAAATGTCAAAGACTGATAGTATCTACTGTTGGTGAGGATGTGTGAAAACAGATATTCCCACACACTGCTATTGGACGTTAAATTAGGACAGCAACTTGGGAGGAAAATTTGGCCGTACTTATTTAAATTCTTTTTATTGAGATAATATATATATATAATTTATCATCTCAAGTGAACAGTTCAGTGGTACTCAGTATATTTATCATGTATATCATCATCTAATTTCAGAATACTCCTATCACCCCCACTAGAAATCCAGCACCCCCCAGCAGTCACTCTAATTCCCTCCTGATCCCCATCCCCTGGCAACCACTGGATCTACTCTGTCTCCATGGATCTACCTAACCTGAACATTTCATACCAGTGGAATCCTACAAAATATAGCCCTTTGTGCTCGGCTTCTTTTAGTTAGCATCAAATTCTAAATGTTTTATTCTTCAACCCAGTTATGCCATTTCTTGAAATCTATCACAGAGAAAAACTGTTTATACAAGTATGTGCCCAAATAGGCACACACAAGGATCTTCACTGCACCCACTTAAGCAACAGAAAACAAGAGAAAGAAAAGCAAGCCTCAATATTCACCAATAAAGATAAATTTAAATAACCCACAGGCCCTCCTTCCTATGAAATACCAGTCAGCAG